GCACAGTCCATCATGGTGTAGAAGCAGCTGTGGCAGTGGAAGCATCACATAGCTGGTCATCACCTTGGCAGGCAGGAAGTAGAGATCTAGATGGAACTAGAGTAGGGCTATAGCCTATAAGGCTCCACCCCTCAGCATCTCACTTCTTCCATTTGACATTTAGATACAACATCATCATATTTGACAACTGTGCAATCGAGTTACAAATCTCATTATGTTTTAAGTAAGTTTTCTGATTTTGTGTTGGGCTGCATGTCACGACTTTTCAAAATAGTGCCAACAGATGGCGATCAAGCGTTCATATACATAGACACTCAAACCATAACAGTATCAAGTGGGTAAGAGTCTTAGACACAGGCTGAGCTGTGGTCACAGAACGAAAGGGTGCTAGGTTATGTACAAGGTGATTTGTTCCTGGGCCATTTCAGGTGGAGGAGGTCCAGGCTGGAGGACAGTGTGGTTCCCATCTCTGAATGTGTGTTTGGCTACTGCTGTTCCAGTGGTTGGACAAAGAACACCAGAAAATGACTTCTCCAGTAGGTCTCACCAAAGACTTAGACATGGCCACAGGCTTTTTCTGCTCTTATGCTGTTTTGTCTTTAACTAGAACCCTATTAGTATAGGAGGAAACTGGGATCTACTGGGGAGAAGTATATCGAGTGAGGGTTATGGTCTCCACCTCACCGCTGCAAACATCAACTCAGAGTCACACAGCTGAGAAGAGGAGTGGACCTCCATGTCTGCATCTGTATACTCAGCTATCCACCCATGAAAAATAGTCAAGACTGGGGCTGGAGAGATGGCTCAGGAGTTAAGAGTACTTTTTGCTCTTCAGAGGATCCACATCCAATTTCTAGCACCCACATCACAACTGCCTGTAACTCCAGCTTTAGGGAATCTGATAACCTCTTCTGGCCTCTTAGGGTACCAGCACACAGACCCATACACATACATGTAAATAAAAAGAAATTGTTAAAAAAAAGGAAAGTAGTCAAGAAAAAATTGTATAGTTTTTTTGTGTCATTAGTCTCTGAACAGCTCAGTATAATAACTATTACATGGTATTAGATATTGTTAAGTAATCTAGAAATGACTTCCAGTATACAGGAGAATGTGTGGAGGTGGTATGTCAGCATTATGCCATTTTATATAAGGGACTTGAGTGTCTTTGGATAGTGGTACCCAAGAGGGTCCAGAGAACAACTGCTCACTAATACTGAGGAATGGTTGGAGTAGAGATGGATTTGAATCTGGATCTTCCAGTTCCTAACCAAGAGGCTTTACGGATGTCAGCAAGGTGATTGCTGTTCCTGGCTTCGTTGCATAGCACAGCTGGCAGAAATCTGGGCCTCAGATTTTTTGCAAATATGTCTAAGAGAATAGCCGATCTAACCCTCAGTTTCCTCCATTACTCCTTTCTAGCAAGAACTCTGAATCTTTCTGGTAACAAGCATATTCCCTCCAGAGTCTGGCTCACCCTCACAGGCTAGTGCCTTCCTTTGCTTTCTCTTTCCGCCCCTCTTTTTCTCTCTTCCTTTCTGGGGCCCCTGCTTTTGTCCTGCACACAGGCATTTGTAAGACCACATGCTTGCAGTCAGCACAGAGTGGCAATTGTGTGGTCTGCTTTGTCCCTTGTAAATGCCACCATGAGTGTCTTCCTACATTGCTCCACGATAATCATACAGTTCTATTCACAAAACCCCGTGGGCACCCTGTTCTTATGGCACCACAATCTGCCTTCCAGAAGCCTGCCTGCAGAGAGATGTTTCTAAGGTGTGAATCTGATGTCTGATTACAGTGATCATTGGCATCATCAGGGCAGAGGGGCAGTCATCCACGTTTGCCCCAAGGCATTCAGACATAGGCCCTGCTGATCATCTCACGTCCTCCCATGTCAGTCATCATGTTGGCAGGAATGCAGAATTCACTCCAGATGGTTCCAATAAGGAGATTTTAACTGAGGGATGATTTCTACAGAGCAGGACTTAGGGATAAAACAAAAGTTGGAGGATGCTGAGGTAAACAACAGCAGATGGAGGCACTGGAGCCAGGAGGGAGCAAGGGAGAAATATTGTCTTCTTCTCACATCTTTTGAGTGCCTCCACTGGCTGAATCCAGCTGGAAGCCAGAAGGCTAGGGCCCAGGACAAGTGACCCACAGGGTTGGCTACAGGGAAGACAGTGGACCTGGGCATGCTTGGGGATGAATGGAGAGCATCTGAACTTGCCATCCCTCATGTTAGTCTCTTGTCTCTGCACATTTGCAGTGCCTGTACCCTGTTGAGACTACCAGACTATCCTCTCTATGTTGAAAACCCCCCAGTCTTCAGCCAAGTTTCAATGCCTCTTTTGATATCCCCACCTTTGTCCTTATCCTACAGTATCCTGACTGCTCATGACTGCCATGGTACCTTCTTGGTGCCAAGCTCCTCCAAGGAGAAACCCAGTCTCTTTACTGTTGAGAACTGAGTGTTTGGTAACTGGTAAATGAGCAGGGACCAAGCTCAACTGAATGAGGCAGTAGCCTTGGGTGAAAACATTTGTAGGCAGGAGAGAGAGAGAGAGAGGTTCAAAAAGTCTTAGCAATCAAAGCATGCTAGTCAGAAAACCAAATCAACAAGCTATAGCCCATGGGCCAACTGTCTGTTTTGAATGCCTACCCAAATGGGAATAGCTCCCCCAAAGCGCTCTAGCATAGTGTTTCAAAACATGTTTAGTGCATACCAGTAATCTCACCACTTGGGAGGTAGAGGCAGGAGAATCTGGAGTTTAAGGCCATCTTCAGTTACATATCCAGTTTGAGGCCAGCCTGGGCAACAAGAGACTCTTGTTTAAAAAAATTTTTTTTGATCTTGATCTAGAGTTAAAAATAAATTTCACATTGTGACTCCCCCCTTCTCCCCTGAGACATTTCTGGGATTGAAACAGTTCTTTATTGTTTTTATTAATTTTTAATTTTTTTTTGAGAATTTTGTTCTTGAGTATTGTATTTGTACTATTTCCACCCTCTCAGTCCTCTTCTAACTCCTCCCATGTCCCCCATTCTCCCTCACAATTTCTTGTCCTCTTTGGTTATTGTTGTTACACACACACACACACACACACACACACACACACACACACACACACGCATGCTCTGAGTCCATTTAGTGGTACTCATGTATGTGTACCCATGTTTAGGGCTGCTCACTTGGGATTAGATAACCTCTCAGGGAGCTCATCCCTAGAGAAAACTGATTTTCCCTCCCTCAGCATCCATTGGTTACCTACTGTTCTTCATCTTGAGGTGGGACCCCATGAAATTTCCCCATCCAAATTGGCATGTCAAATGGTTTTGTCATTGTGCAGATCTTCTTAGGTTACCACACTGTGGAAATGTCATTTGTGTAGCTTCCCTATCATCTCTAGAATGCATTAGCTAGCATCTGGTGTCTTGTCCCCCTGGCTCTTACATTCTTTTCACCCTCTCTTCCACCATTGTCCCCTGAGCCTTAGATGCAGAGTTGCATTGCAGATGCGTCACTTACGGCTGGGCACCTCACAGTCACTTATTCTCTACGTTTGAGAATTTGTAGAACTTTGTAATAGTCTCTATCTGTTGCAAGAAGCAGCTTCTTTGACAAGCGTTGAGATACACTTGTCTGTGAAGATAAGGATACTTATTTAGAATACAATAGGAAATTAGGTTGGTCTAGGAACATGGCAGTAGTAGGTTCTCCTCTAGAGTCTATGACCCCTCCCACCATGTGTGCTTGGCTATGTTTAGAGTATCATGCATGGATTCCTTCCTATTAAGTGAGTCTTAAGGTCTATTAAACAGCTATTGATTACCTCCAAGATAAAGGTACCACAGTTGCACAAATAGAAGTAATTTGCTAGGCTAGTCATTGTGGTTAGTAGGTTTTATAGCTGGGTAGGACCACTCGTTGTTTTTCTCCCTTGGCAGTTTGCATAGCACCTTCTAATACTCTAAGAGCTAGTCTTTGGGGAGGCTTCCAGGTTACTTCCAGCTTAGTTGCTCCAAGTCCTATATCTGAAGTATGTCATGACTTCAGCAATAGGGTCTTACCTTCAAGTTTTGAGAGGCAATCAAGGGCTGTGGCACTAGCCTATGTTCTTTTGGAAACTCTTGAACTACTCTGACCAACAACTTGAAGGGAGGTAAAGCAAGTTTCTTAATAAGACTTGCTGTCTCTAAACATGAAACACGCCCTGGAATTTTCTATTTTAATCTTGTCTCCTTTTTTTTCATTGAAAATGCTGCCCACAGCCTTTTAAATTCATATTGCTTGGATTTTGCTTATGTGCTTTTATTGCCCAGCTTGCCAGTGGGGTGCACCCCCCAAAGTGCACCCTGTTTTGACTGCCTGCTCTGCTCTGAGAAGAGTGCCTGGCATGCAGAAGCTTCTCTGTGATGTGCTGTGAGCCACCGTGTGAGTGGGTGCTGAACAGAGGGGTCCTGGCCTCTGCAGTAGGGCTTCTATAAGTGGCTTATTTTTTCTTACTCCAGTTGCTCCTGGGCCCAGCCTTGCCCAGGACACCCTGGCACTGCCACCATCCTGGGCTGTGATGGGCCTGCTGTTCCTTTTTCTGCCGTTCCTGCTTTCCTGTGTTTCTGGACTGCCCTTCTACAATGGCTTCTACTATGCCAACAGTCTCTACAGCAGGCCCCCTGGCAACGGTCATGGGGAAGGTAGGTGGCTCCTAGACCTGTCCTCTCGCTCCGGTGGTAATATATGGGTTCCAGGCTGGGATGATGACAGTAGGTTTTTCCCTGTCTGGATCCTTGGGGTGGATCAGTGTGGCTTCTAAGATGCAAAGAGATGGTTTAGATACTCTGTGTTTGGTGGTACCTTAGACATGGGGCCAGGTTCACTTGGGGACTTATTCATGGCCCGTTTTTCAAGATCTAGCTTAACTGCAAGCACTCCTGGTCTCCCCAGCAGAAAGGACTTTGGGGTCACATAGATGTGAGTTAATTGTTTGGGGGATTTATTTATTTTTATTTTATGTGTATGAGTGTTTTGCCTGCATGTATGTAAGTGCACCTGTGTTATACAATGCCTATGAAGGCCAGAAAAGGGCATTGGATCCCCTGGAACTGGAGTTAGGGGATTTGTTGGCTGCTATGTGGGTGCTGGGAACTGAATCCAGGTCCTCTGTAAGAGCAGCCATTGCTCTTAACCGCTGAGTTAATCTTAGTGCTGACTCTTTCTTGCTTCGTGTCTTTGAGCAGGGGACTTTTGAGATGACAGTCATTGAGGGACAGTTTCCTAGCCTTGGCTGACCATGGTAGCTGGGTCTTTGAGAAGCAGTGTTCTTAACCACTGAGCCATCTCTCCAGCCAGCCCTAGTTTATTTAATTGTATATTTTATTTATTATTTTTATTTTATGTATATGGTTGTATTATCTGCATGTAGGTGGATGCAGCTGTGTCATGCAATGCCAGCAGAGGTCAGAAGAGGATTTTGGTTCTCTGGGACTGGAGTTACAGATGATTGTTGGCCACCATGTGGGTGCTGAGAACTAAACCTGCATCCTCTGCAAGAGCAGCCAATGCTCTTAACAGCTGAGACATCTCTCTAGCCCCTTATTTTATTTATTTTTATTTTAGTGTATGAGTGTATTGCCTGCATGTGTGTAAGTGCAACCTAAACCTGCATCCTCTGCAAGAGCAGCCAATGCTCTTAACGGCTGAGACATCTCTCCAGCCCCTTATTTTATTTTTATTTTAGTGTATGAGTGTATTGCCTGCATGTGTGTAAGTGCACCCATGTGGTGCAATGTCAGGAGGTTAGAAGAAGGGGTTGGATTCCCCTGGAACTGGAATTAGGGATGGCTGTTAGCCACCATGTGGATGCGGGAATTGAACCTGGGTTCTTTGTCAGACCAGTCAGTGCTCTTAACCACTGAGCCATCTCTCCAGCCCCCCTTATTTTATTTTTTGAGACAAGACCTTATGTAGCCCATGCTGATCTCAAGCTTGCTATGTAGGTGAGGATGACCTTGAAGCTCTGATCCTTCATCTCCTAAGGGTTGAGATTATCGTTGTGCACCACTATGCCAGGTTTTATGCATTGTTGAAGATTGAAACCAGGGCTTTGTGCGTGCTAAGCAAGCACTCTCCCAACTGAGCTACATTCCCAGTTCCCCCTCACCTTTTGGAAACAAGGTCTTGTGTAGCTCAGGCTGGCCTTTCTATATAGCTGAAGATGGCCTTAATTAAGCTCCTGGTCCTCCTGCTACCACTTCCAGAGAGCTGGGGTCACAGGCATGAGCTACCACACTTGGCTTGTCAGCTTGCTTTTGGTGTAGAACAAACCACCTCAAATCTGGCTGCTTAACACCATACTCGTTTATTGAGCTCTATAGCTCAGCATTTTCGAGTGCACTCCGTTTCTTCTGATCCTGTAGCTGAGACTGTCACCAGCAGTGGGAAACACAACTCCACATGGCTGGAGTGTCACTTGAGTACTCTACTCACTGGCCTCGGGGAGGTGGGGAGTCTCTTTTCAGGTTAGCCAGACTTGTGCAGCAACAAAGAATTTTAGGACATGCCAGAGTTTATTGATTAAGCGGGACAAAAAGAACTCGAGGAGAGTTGTGTGTAGGTATTAGCCGATCATCCAAAGGCCTCAGCAGTTGCTATGTCTGGGATCTGCGGGCTGTGAAAAATACAAAGTGTACAGCTCCGCATAGATATTAGGGAAGGGATGTGATGGTACATCCCCTTTAAAAAAATCCATAGAATTCCATCCTTGAAGAGACCCCTGAACAGCACGCAGCTGGAGAAGGGCATGCTAGGAGAGATCAAAGCACTGGTGAAAGGGGTCCTTACTTATACAAGGGTCACAAGGAGGCTGACATTGAGGCAGGCAGATCTCTGGGAGTTCCAGGCCAGCCAGGTCAACATAGTGAGCCCTTATGTCAAAAAAAGAAAAAGAAAAAGAAAAAAGGCATGAAGTTGGGTTGGGAGGGGGACTTGTTGGTAGGGACATATGGGAATTGAGGGGGGAAATGAGGGGCAGATATGATCATATTTCATTGTATATATGCATGAAATTCTCAAAAATAAAGAAAATAAATGGGTAATCATTTATAAAAAATGGCTGATAAGCCATGCCTCAATTCCAGTCTCCTTGTGACCCTAGTGTAAGTAAGGACATCTTTGATCAGTGCCCTTATCTTACCCCCTTTTCCAACTACTCAGTGTTCTCTTCCAGGACAGGCTATACCATTATAGGATGAGCCCAGCTAAGGAGGACCAGCTCTGTTCCCTGTGGTCTCTTGGCTCCAGACAGTTGAGTCTGGGCTTGTCCACATGATAGCTGGCAATGTCCCAAGAGGAGGAAGTAGCGAGGGCTCCCAGAATTAAGGCTCAGAAGAGGCACAGTGAGACCGTCCTATCTACCACATTCATCCAAACAAGTGGCAAGGCCAGTACAGATTCAAGGGGTGGGTGGGTAAATTAATGTCACCTCTTTTTTTTTTGGTCTCATTTTGTAGCCTTTGCTGGCCTCAAATTTATACTCATGATGATCCTTCTGCCTCAGCCTCTCCAGTGCTAGGATTACAGGTGTTTGCCATCACACACAGCTCAATGAAAGTGGGCACAAAATCACGTGAAATGAGTACTTAGAAATGGAGAAGGGGAGCAATTTTTGCAGTCTGTAGCACCTGAGTCTGGAGGGGGCTAGGAACGAGAGTGTGGGTGATCTTTGAAAGACTACTAATATGCCAGGGCCCCATCTATGCCCTACTTAACCCCCAGGCTTGTTCAATGGAGTGAAGTTGGTGGTAGAGACACCTGAGGAGGTCCTGTTCAGTCACCAGGGGGCCAGTGTGACCCTGCCCTGTCACTATCACTACGAGCCAGCCCTGGCCTCCCCACGGCCCTTACGCATCAAGTGGTGGAAGCTGTCAGAGAATGGGGCCCCGGAGCAGGATGTGCTAGTGGCCATTGGACAGAGGCACCGCTCCTTTGGAGACTACCAAGGTCGTGTGCATCTGCAGCAGAGCAAGGAAGGGGAAGTCTCGCTGGAGCTCAGGGACCTGCAGCTGGAGGACTCTGGGCGCTACCGCTGTGAGGTCATTGATGGGCTGGAAGACGAGAGTGGCCTGGTGGACCTGGAGCTGCGGGGTGAGATCCTGACTGGGACTGGGTGCCACTGGAATCCAAGGGAAGAGTAGAGGACCAAGAGAAGGCATAGACCTCTATACTTTACACATATAGGCACATCTAATTCTCAAAACAACCCCTGGGAGGAAACTGCTATAGCATTACAGGAAACAGGGAGGTCAAGTAACTTACCTAATGTCACATAGATTATAAGTGGAAGAGCTGGGGTTTGAACCTGGCAGCAGCTTCCACTGCCTTCTGTTCCCTCACTCAATCTAATTCAGAAAGAGGAAAACAGGAGCTGTTTCACAGCCCATTGCAGTCAGAACTGAGATTCCAGCAGGGTTAGCCCCAAGACCCACATGGAAGAATGGTTGTCTAACATCAATGAGGCCCTAGGTTCAATCCCCAGCTTGCAAAAACAGCAAGAGAATGAAACCCTCAAGTTTATATAGTGAAATTCGAAACATGTATGGTAGTGTGGTTTTTTTGGTATGGGCTTTTGTTTCTGAGACAGGATCTCACTCTGTAGCCCAGGCTGATCTTGAAGTCATGGTAATCCTTCTGCCTTGGTCTCTTGACTGCTAAGATTACAGGGGTGAGCCACACATCCCACTAGCATAGTAATTTTTGAGGGAAGCATGTGGTTTTGTCAGACAAGGTTACCAGGAAGGAGGCTTTTGACCTCAGGCCTCCTTTAACTAAAGGCCCTTTACCACCCTTCTTCCCACAGTTTCTAAGGTTTCCCTTGCCCCTGAAAATCAACTGTCACACATAGAAAGTTTCTTGCATTTTCTTTCTTCCCTTCCTCTTTCTCCCTTCCTTCCTCCCTTCCTTCTGCTCCTCTTTCTATTTCTTCTTTCTTTCTTCCTTTCTTTTTGTTGAGGCTGCCTCACTTTCATCCCAGAATGGCCTTGAATTCATGGTAATCCTTTACCTCATGGCCCTCCCTTTCTATAAATTAAACCAACTCATTGGGGCTGGTAGTTAGCAGGTAAAGGCACCTGCTACCAAACTTGGTGATCTGAGTTTAATCCTCCAGAGCCACATAGTAGAAGGAAAGAACTGACTCCTGAAAGTTATCCTCTTACTTCCACACACATGCCATGGCATGCACCCTCCCTAAATAAATAAATAAATAAATAAATAATGTAGTTAAAAATAGACCAATTCATAGATCAACAGTATACCGCCCCCCCAAATCAGAAAACCAAATCTTGAATTTACTGTGGGTAAGTACCACACTGAACTAGGAGAATTAAGTGATGTGTAGGCATTATGTTAGGTTCATAAGCAGTCCAGAGATAAGTTAAAATATATTGGAGACTGTGCAGAGGTTATATGCAGATGCTGCTATTTTATATAAGGGATGTGAGTATGTATAGATTTTGGTATCCTAGGGACCTGGTTCCAATCCTGCTTGGATACTTAGGGATATCTGTAGAATGGGGAGCTGGGACCCAAGTCCAAAGCATAGGTCTGTCTCCTGTAGACAGTAGCAGGACCTGCCTTCTAGTCCTCCTATAGTGGGGCACATCAGTTGATGGATTGATTACCCTAACAAGCCAATATATGCTTTCTGAGGTCTCTGCTTGGGTCCAGGAGGAAGGTGAGTGGACAGATCTGAGGTTTGCTGAATTTTTGTGTTACCTGTGCCCGTGTGTTCTGCAGGGAACATGCATCCCAGTGGAGGTGGGGAGCTGGGACCTCATGCACTCCTTCAAGCCATTCCTTCCTTTCTAGGTGTGGTCTTTCCCTACCAGTCTCACCAGGGGCGCTACCAGCTCAACTTCCATGAGGCCCAACAGGCGTGCCTGGAGCAGGATGCTGTGGTGGCCTCTTTTGAGCAGCTCTTCAGGGCTTGGGAGGAGGGGCTGGACTGGTGCAATGCTGGCTGGCTTCAAGATGGTTCGGTGCAGTACCCCATAGCGTTGCCGCGGCAGCCCTGCGGAGGCCTGGGCCTGGCGCCTGGAGTTCGCAGCTATGGCCATCGCCACCACCGCCTGCATCGCTATGACGTGTTCTGCTTCACTGCTGCCCTCAAAGGTGAGTGGAATGGTCCAACACAGACCTGCACACTTGATGGCCATCTAGGACCTGAGGAGGGCATCCTCTTCTGTGGAACTTTCAGAACCTTCTGCCCCTATCTGCTGGCATCTCAGCCTGAGATCTGGAGCGCTAGCAGATCTGGAGGCGATGTCCCCAACAGATCTGAGTGCAATCCTCTTGCTGCCTCATGCCCACCATTGGTGCTTCATTCATCAAACGTTTTCTGATGTGTTGGGGCCTGGATGAGACTCCTGGTCAGCACAGACAAATCACATCTTTCTTCATAGTATGGCTCTTATCATTGAAAGGTAAATGAAATCAGAAATTGGTTCAGGGCTGTCACAAAAGCACTTAGAAATGTGTCTAGCAGGACTGGGGATGTTGCTCAGCTGATAGAATGCTCATCTAAGCATGCATAAGGCCTGGGTTCCATTCCTAGCACTGCATAGACTGCGCATGGTGGTATATGTCTGTAATCCCAGCATGTGGCAGATGGAGGCAGGAGGATCAAAAGTCAAGTTCAAGGTCTTCCTCAGATACATAGCAAGTACAAAAATGTCTGCTGGCACATACTAGGTGCTCATACAGTTAAGTGCTCAGTAAATTATGGGTGAGAGGCCACTTGGTCCAGCCTAGGCAGGGTGCCCACTCAGAATGCAGTTAGGGAAGGATGCTGGGGGCTTCAAAATGACTAGAGAACCCTCAGCCCTATGGGAAGTGGGATGGTGGAGTGAGGCCTGGGAAGGAGCCCTTCCCCGAAGGTGACCAATACAGATGCCCACAAGACATTGGCACCCTACCTTGTCTTGTCCCTTGCCATTGGCCCTGCTGCCCTCACTGGCTACCCCATCTGCTGACCAACACTCAATGCTCCATTTCCTGCAGGACAGGTATACTACCTGGAGCACCCCAAGAAGCTGACACTGCTTGAGGCCAGGGAGGCCTGCCAGGAAGATGGCTCGCAGATTGCCACAGTGGGCCAGCTCTTTGCTGCCTGGAAGTTCCGTGGTCTGGATCACTGTGATGCTGGCTGGTTGGCAGATGGAAGTGCCCGCTACCCCATAGTTCACCCTCATCTCAACTGTGGGCCCCCGGAGCCTGGGGTCCGGACTTTTGGTTTTCCAGACCCACAAACCCGCTATGGTGTTTACTGCTACAGCCAGCACTAGGCAGGCTAGCCAGCTCTACTGGTCCCACCTCCTGCCCTCTTGGGCTGAGTATTTGTTAGGTGGGTCATTGCCCCTTGTGGGTTAGGGCAATGCTAATAGTATTTTATACTTCTCAATTTAAATGTTTTTTTAAGGTACTGTTTTTTACAGATCCAGCTCCCAATTCCTTTGACATCCCTCTGTGGGATATTTGGGGTCCACTGACTTTTAGAGGCATTCCTATCTCCCGGTACAGCTGGTCTCCCTGCCCCGAGGATGCTGGTGCCCAGCACAGGCAATGGCCAGCTCAGGGTCCACAGGAGTCAAGATGTGGTGACTGCACCTAGCTCTCCCTTCCCTTGGTTTACAGGAGGCAGGAGGCTGGGGTTTGGCTTTTTTAAAATTCCTGAATAGGGTCCCTAGACTTGTCGTTCAAGTCTGAGGGAAGGGAGATCTTTCTTGACCTTCTCTCCTCCTCTCTTGGTTCCAAAGAGTCTGAATTTCCTTCCATGCCCCCTGCTTGGGAATGACCATCTGGGTATGTATACCTTATTTGGGCAATAAATGGTGCTTTGCCCCTCCCCCGACCCCTTTCCTTTCCAGTCTATCCCTGTATCTGACTTTTTGTCTCCTTCAGTCTTAGGGACTGTCTCCCAGCCCAGGGTATGTGTGAGGTCACTTCTGTCCCTGGGCTGCCTCTGCAGGCTGGCTTGCTTCTGGTCTTGTGTGCCCTATGGCATACTCTGCCTCAGGTGCTGGCTCAGCTTCTGGAGGCCTGGCTGTCATCTTCAGCATCTCCACCCCATGACGGTGCATCCTTGAGGCACTCCATTGAAGAGTGGGAAGTGCCTCAAGAGAGGGAAGAGGAAGCTATACCCTCCAGTGGGTCTCAGAGACTGAGGATCTGAGGGGTGTCTTTTTAAAATTTTTATTTTATGAGTGTTTTGCATGCATGTACCTGTGTGTGCAATGCCTGCAGAAGCCAGAGGAGGGAATCAGATGCCCTGGAACTGGAATTAGGGAAGGTTGTTAGCTGTTATGTGGGTGCTGAGACTAGAACCTGGGTCTTCTGCAAGAGCAGCCAGTGCTCTTAACTGCTGAGCCATCTCTCCAGCCCCGCAAGGGGTATCTTTGTTCCTCACCCTAGTACCATTCAGAAAACCAGACATGCACTTCACACAAGCATGGTTGTATGCCCGGTGCTTACCAATCAGGTGTTTTTCATTTTGTTTCCTTATTTTAGAAGTTTTTTGTTTAAGCGTGTGTATGTACGTGTGTACATGTGACTGCAAGTGCCCACAGAGGCCAGAATAATGTGTTGGAGCCCCTGGAGGTAAAGTTACAAGCAGTATGAGTCTTCTGACATGCATGCTGGGAACTGAACTCCAGTCTTCTGCAAGAACAGCAAGTTCTTTTTAAAAAATTTTTTTTAATTAATTATTAAAATTAATCTTATGTGTGTATTGCCTGCATGTAGGTAAGTGCACCCGTGTCGTGCAATGCCTGCAGAGGTCAGAAGAAGCTGCGGATCCCCTGAGACTGGAGTTACTGATAGTCGTTAGCTGCCATGTGGGTGCTGGGATTTGAACCCGGGTCTTCTGCAAGAACAACCAGTGTTCTTAACTGCTGACCCATCTCTCCTGCCCTGAACAGCAAACTCTTTTAACCACTAAGCTATCTCTGCAGTTCCTCAGTTTTCCTTTTTCTTTTTCGGGGGCGTGGTAGGGATTGAGACAGGGTCTCATGTAGCCCCAGGTGGTCTTGACCTTGCTGTATAGCTGAGGATGACCTTGAACTCCTGATCCTCCTGCCTCCTGAATGCTGGTACTACAGGTGTGTACCATTACACCTGGCCAGCAGCTCAGGCCCTGGGAATTTATTCAAAATGCAAATTCCTGGGCCTTGCTGCAGATTTATTGAGTCCGAAACTGGGAGTAAACTCAGCAGCACTCTGTTATCCCAACCGTCTAAGGGATATTTCCTCCCTTTTGGTAGTGGAGATTGGCTAGGACATTGCATGTGGTAATTAAGCACTCTACCACTGAGCCGTGTACCCAACTCTTACTCATTGAGACTGAGTCTTACTAAATTTCCAGTCTGACCTTGAATTTGTGATCCTTCTGTCTCAGCCTCCCAAGTAGCTGAGGATACAGGCCTATGCCACCAGACTGGGCACAGATGTCTCTCCTGAGTCATCCTTTTGTTATTGTTGCTCTTTTGAGACAGAATCTTACTATGTAGCCCAGCTGGCCTTGAACTTTCAATCCTCCTGCTTCAGCCTCCTGAGTATACCACCATGCCCTGTTAGTGTGTCCGCTTGCAAATCGGTACTCAGAACCACCGAAGGACATACGTGGACAGGCACACCCAGGCATGCACACACAAATAGATGACCGGTGCTCACATATATTTCATGTTCATAACACGGTACAGAGAGTCCATCAAACACATCATCAGTCTAGTACAAATAAAGCAAACAGATGCAACTGGCTCAGACTCTGGACACAGGACTCATACCAGTTGGGAGTCATTTGCTCAACACTTGGTTTCAGTGCTACCACCTAAGTGCTCCATCAGGAGGTCCCAGATCATGGTCACCTCTTGCTTAAATTAAAAAAGGAAAGAAAATAGATCTCTTCCAATGTCTTTATTATTATAATTATCATAATCTTTAGTTTTCAAAAATATAAATAGGTGCACGGAACACTGGTGCCTGCACCGTCCCGGGGGTGGGGAGAGGGGAGAAGATGGAGGAGCACCCCCTGGAAAGGAAGTGCCCCTACCCAGCCCAGCCGAGAAATGACACCTGCTAGGGTGGTAGACCCAGATGAGAGGTCACTGGAAGAGGGGCCCTGGAGGGGAGGCAACCTCACTTCCCTCAGCCAGCCTGCTCCCTGCCCCAGGCTCTTCCCCTCAAAGATGGCTCAGCCCTTGGTTCCTTTTGTCCAGTACGTTAAGCAGCAGTCCCCTCTGAGTCCTTCATACTCTGAGGCCATGGCCCCCTGGCTCCTCCTGACCCCTCCTCCCGCCTCCCTAGCTCTCCCTGGAGGTGAAATAACCAACCATTGCACTGCTCTTGGGTAAAGTCAGGAAACAAAAAATAATCTTCTTTATTAACTTAATCCCTCCCTTCTTACCCTGTCTCTGTGCTGGTCCCTGGAAAGGCACGATGGGAGATTGAAGAAATGTCTCTAACTCTCAGTCCATTGAAGAAATGTCTAAACTCAGTCCATGGGTTACAGTAAATTTGCTTTGGCATTTGGGGGGACAAATTTGGCATTTGGGAAATGTGGGGGGGTGAGGGCAGGGGTACACACAATGTGGGATTTGTTTTTGTTTTTTCCTTCTTTAATGGGATTCCTTATATGACAAAAAGCAACAAGACACCATCTGGGTGGGATGCATGGTCAGCCTGGCTGATGGCTGGGCTCAGCATCCTGGGCAAGTCCTAGAAGCTGTGCTCAGTGGACCATGCTGGGGCGGCTCCTCATGGGTCTCAAGCTCCGCTTCTGTAACCTGCGCTTGTAGGTGGAGGCTGTTAAAAAGGGAGGTGGAAAAATACCAGTGAGCAGGGAGAAGTAGGGCCAAGCCTAGGCTTTCCACAGTGCCCTGCCCTACAGAATGTGGGCTCAGGAAGGCGGCCTAAAGCTGCCTCCAGCCTGCTCCTCTGGGTTGGATTTTTCTTTGAACTTCCTTGGACTCAGGAGGCAGTCATAGCCCCAGCCCCCAGCTTCTCCAACAGGCATTCCCTGGGACGGGAGCCAGTGATTCATGATGGAGCAGACCCTTAAACCTTGCCCCACTGGCTTAGCCCCTAGTATGGGACAGGATCTAGAGGACAGCATCAGCTACCACTGTGCTCTGGGGACAAGAAGAAGGCTCTATTGGTGGAATCTGACCCTGTGCCAGGTGAAAGGCCAGAAGGGTGATGCTCACGGTCTGTGCAGGTGATCCGAGGTTCCTCCCAGTGCCCACTGGGCTGGCACCGGATGGTGGGCACGTGGCGCTGGACAAAGCCCTCTGTGCACTGGTACCGTACCAGGGAACTGATTTCATATCGGTCCTTCTTCTGCCCAAGGGTCCTGGCATGCTTCACCACTGGGGGGTCTCCACAGGCCACTGAGGGACAAATGCTTTTTAGGAAGGTGTCTCATGAGGTCTTCTGTGATGACCAATGTGACCAGAGACAAGATTAGCCCAGAGCCAAAGCATAGTGAGAAGGGCATGGGCTCTGTTACCAATTGCTAAGCCTGGACTGCTGGGAAAATGCAGGGCTAAGAATCCCAAGACCTTCACTTCTAACATCAAGACACCTCTGTGGTGTTAGGAGGCAGGAAGGGAATATGAAAGTGGCCTTGGGCAATGGTGAAATGAAAGGAAAGGAGAAAGGAAAAGAAGGAGCAGTCAGGCATATCAGTTGTGGCTTCTTTATGAAAATGACCTGTGCCAGGGAAAGTGGAACCCAGAGGATGCCTGCAACATAGGCCATGAGCAAGGACAGGTATACATGCCCTACAAACATTGTGATGCTCACAGCCCTGAAGTTGAAGGATCTAGGCCTGACAGCCATAATTCTGTGACTGGCATTCTTGGAACCCCAGAAAGAGAGGTCCCCTCCAAGACCATCGTAAATGGCTTTCTGCTGCTGACAACTGAGGGACTGTGGTATGTGTGGAGTCAAGGATCCTGTCTTCTAGCTTTCATGCTCTCATAGACCCTGTGAATAACCCCCCAGGAGTCAGCTCCCCCTTGCCGTTGGCCCTGTGATGCTGGTGCCAGGAAAGGTCTGCATATCAGCACCTGTGAGCTTCTTGGGGATGTCCCCAGAGACCCCAGTGGCTGGAAGAGAAGGGCACTTGTCTCAGGTTACATGGCAAGTGTCTCCTTTGCAGCTGAAGGTCCCCATCCACTCCCTGAACCTCCTCCCAGGCCCTGCTTACCGGTGCCCTTTTTACATGTGAAGGGCAATTGGTAATTGCAGGGGACATCATTCCACTCGCCCTTCTCATGCCAGATCATCACCACACAGTCTTCTCCAGTGGCAAAGAAGTTGTCAGGCTGGTTGGGACGCCACTTCTCAAATTGCTGTGGGCGGGAGAGGTGAAGTAGTAACGGGAAGGCAGAAGTAGAGTGTTTTGGACTGATGCCCACTTTCTTCCCCATCAGGCCCCTGTCTCCTTGTTCCTTTTATTCAGTTTCTGGGTCATATGGCAGTGGCAAAGGCTCCTGGGAATCTGGTCCTAGGTACTATGGATGCCAGTTTAGGAAACTGGTTACACAGCCTGGCTCTGGTCCTTTGCAGGAACTCAGAACCCTTAAGGATTCAGTGAAGGCTTTCAGCCCTTCACTGACCTGTAACTGACTGCCCGTACTGTCTACTTGACCTCTATATTGCTTTCTATTTTCTTTTCTATTTTTTTTTTTTTTTTGACAGGCTTTCCCTAGTCTGAGTCCTCCTGGAACTCAGGATAGAACTCTCCATCTCAGAGATTCGCCCACCTCTGCTAGGATTAAAGGCCTGTGCTACCTCGCCTGGCTTTGCTTTCTATTTTCTTGAGTAGATACAAGTTATTTGGGCATAAGGAGACTCTCTCAAGCATCATATACCTTTGATGGTGGCTTCTGGCCATGCCTTCATTTCTCTCCTGGCTCCTTCCCCTGTCTTGTGCCTTCACTTCTACAGTCCAACCAGCATTGAGCTGATCTCAGAGACAGAGGAGACACAATCCTTTCTCTACAGGGTTCCCTCCCAGCAGCTACTCAATTTGCGTCAGTTTGAATGACATCTGAATGCATGCTCTTCCTGGGGTCTTTATCCCACTCCTTATCTTCTCCAAACTCACCAGGGAGTGTCCATCAGACCAGCGGAAGTCTCCTTCGATAGTCCTGTCATTCAGGCCAATCCACTGGTAATCTTGAGCATTTTCTGGGGAGGGAAGATGGGTTTGTACCTGGCGTTGGATAGCCTGGGCTGTCTGAAGATTAGAGCTCATAGGAGTAGAGGGCATGGAGGCAAAAGGAGGCAGGTGGCTTCTAGGAACATTCTGCTGGCTTCTGTGGATTCTGTGAGGGTCTCAGGACATGCATCTTTGGGATATATGTTGGTCCACCTCCTCAGGCTGGTATGGACAGGTGTCAGCCATGAGTTAGCCAGGGGCTGACTCTGACTAGTAGAGATCTGTCCTGGGTGTAGCTGGAGCTGCTGGCCCCAGTGACCCATCTTCTCTCAGGGAACTGTGGGAACATCTGATCCTCTTCTCCCAGCCTCTTACCTTGCAACTTCACTGGACCCAGCCTGCCAGTTTCTTTTCTGGAACCTAGGGCCTTGTGCATACAAGGTAGGCACTGTCTACTGAGCTATAACCCCAGTCTCCAGTCTATTCTTTTCTGACAAGTGAGGCCCTCTGCCTACACCACCACTTTCCTCAGCCCTGGAGGCCATGCCACACTCACTGTTGACAAACTCCTGTTCCTCAAGAGTGATGATGCTGCTCAGGTGTGACTGCTGCTCTCGACACCGTCTCTCAGCATCCACCCAGGTCTCACGGTCAGGGAAGTGGCGGTAACAGTGGCCCTGGAACTTGGTCCAGCCCTCTTCGCATAACTCCTGGTCTGTAACACAGGTCAGAGACTTGAAGGGGACTCAAGACCAGCTGAGTGTGTGGTCACTACCAGTCTTGTGGCACTTGCTTCTACATTCAGGCCATGTTAAGTGCTGGCCCCTCAAGGGAGGCAACAGGCCCAGCTGGAGAGAAGCTCATATTGGAAGCCAGTAATGCCTGGTTCTACCTGGGAAAGGATTTTTTTCTTTCCCTGTTGTAGCACCCTGACCCCCAGGAGTTCTTCCTCTGGATCCAGCAGGCTGGTGGGGGCAGGCAGGAGGAAGGTTTTGAGATTTAAGGCAAAACGTGATTCAGACTCTCTGAGGCATTCTGGGGAAAGGAACTGTGGGCAGCAACTAAAGAGAGCAGAAGAGGCTGGGTGTGATGGAGCTGGCAACCTCTTTTCCACAGATACTTGGGTGAGGTGAAAGGCCCCCCAGGAATAAGAAGACTGAATTTTAGGCCATGAACCTAAACTGTCTGTTATTATTACTATTGTTCTTTTTAGTTTAATTATAATTATTTTTTGCAGTGCTAGGGATCAAACCCAGGGCCTTGGGCATGCTAGGCAAGTGTTCGGCCCCTGAATCATATCCCCAGGCCCAAGTTGGCTCTAGCAGAGCACACCATGCCTACCTCTCATGAAGCCATATGCCAACTAGGGGTTGGTTTGTGGTCCAGGGGCCCTGTCTTTTATTTTGTTTCATATTTTGTGGCAGATGAGAAAGGGAAGGAACAGTTTAATATACAATGGGTTCTGTGTTCTGGAGAAGGAGCTGGTTTAGAGACCTTGGAGCAATGTTAGAGGACAGAGGTGGGGACATGCTGGAGCCAGCTCATCAGGATTGGAAGAGGCAATTGTGAGCTAAGTCTGCCTTCAGTGACAGCATGTGGATGATCATAGATTGCCCTTGGTGGAAGAGTTGGAAATAAGCTACCAGTCAGGGGTTTCCTCTTCTCTCTGAGAGACAGTAAACATCTATAGTATAGTACTGAACCAAAGGGACTTGAAGTCCCTTCCCTTTTCCCTTTCTTCTCCTGGCGTCTCCATGTGGAGAGCTGCTCCATGTAGAGGGAAGGACCTGGGGTTCAGTGAACAGCTACCAATGTCTTAGGATGTGTGGCAGCCTCCCAATTGGGTGCTTTCAATCATCTGGCTATCACAGGAAGGACAGGGGCAGTTCCCTGAGAAAGAATCTTCCTTGGGGAAAGGGCCAGATGCTTGGCAAGGCTGGGAAGAATAAAGAGGAGGGAGTAGAAGGCCAGTGGAGAAGACAGAAGGAGCATGGAGGATGGGGAAGAGAAGAGGCCTCAGGTCTCCCTGCTACCAGTGCCCTCCTCAAGGGGCTAGATAAAGGTCTGGAAAGTAAAGAGGCTTCAGAAGACGGAGACACCATCATTGGGCTTGTGGGTCAGTGCTCAGGTCATCTCAGTGCCTGAAGGCTGAGCTAAGTAGGCAGAGTTGGAGGGGGCAGGAACTGGGGGTGGCCAGGCAGGACCATGCAGGGTAGCAGCTGTGAAGATGAGACAGATTTCCAAGGAGGCTGGAAAATGTATTGAGATCAGAACCAAGGCACAAGACACCATGGGGCCTGAGCATTCTGGGGTGGGGTAGAACATTGCTTTTCCAGGTACCCAAGGCCCAGCTGGGTGCCTCTAGCATTATCTTTCTGGTCTATCAGGGTGCAGGGCTCTGCCTTTGTTGCAGCAGAGAACCCCCCTTTTCCATACTGGAACCCCAGAACTGTTGTCTGTGTGGATGTTCCAGGCCTTTCTTCCCTGTGGCATCTTGGGGAGAAAATCCTTGTACTCTACATTCTCACCCAGCTGAAACCCTGTGAACCCACTTCTTGGGGTCTTAGAGTGAAGATGGAAGGCGGGAGGCTGTAGGGGAAGATAAATACCCAGGACCTTTCCTCCAGAAACCTTAAGTTCCTCCACCAGCCTGTATGCTTGGCAGTGCCTCCAAGAAATGAATGTGCAATTCATGCTACCTCCCCTACTGCTCAGGCAGATTGAAGGGAGATTTCCCAGTTCAGCTGCTTTCTGGAAGTTTCTCCAACAAGAGTTCACCGAAAAGGGCTTTGAGCTCATGCACACTTCTAGTTCTTTGTGGGCCATTGCTACCGGCATCCAAAAGCCTTGACTCCCCATATTCTGAGTTGGGAAGCCCTGAGAGTCAAGCCCTGGCAAGAGCCATAGGTGAGAGCCGTGGCTTGGCAAGGCTGGGAAGAATAAAGAGGAGGGAGTAGAATGCCAGTGGAGAAGACAGAAGGAGCATGGAGGATGGGGAAGAGAAGAGGCCTCAGGTCTCCCTGTTACCAGTGCCCTCCTCAAGGGGCTAGACAAAGGTCTGGAAAGTAAAGAGGCTTCAGAGGACAGAGACACCATCATTGGGCTTGTGGGTCAGTGCTCAGGTCATCTCAGTGCCTGAAGGCTGAGCTAAGTAGGCAGAGTTGGAGGGGGCAGGAACTGGGGGTGGCCAGGCAGGACCATGCAGGGTAGCAGCTGTGAAGATGAGACAGATTTCCAAGGAGGCTGGAAAATGTATTGAGATCAGAACCAAGGCACAAGACACCATGGGGCCTGAGCATTCTGGGGTGGGGTAGAACATTGCTTTTCCAGGTACCCAAGGCCCAGCTGGGTGCCTCTAGCATTATCTTTCTGGTCTATCAGGGTGCAGGGCTCTGCCTTTGTTGCAGCAGAGAACCCCCCTTTTCCATACTGGAACCCCAGAACTGTTGTCTGTGTGGATGTTCCAGGCCTTTCTTCCCTGTGGCATCTTGGGGAGAAAATCCTTGTACTCTACATTCTCACCCAGCTGAAACCCTGTGAACCCACTTCTTGGGGTCTTAGAGTGAAGACGGAAGGCGGGAGGTTGTAGGGGAAGATGAATACCCAGGACCTTTCCTCCAGAAACCTTAAGTTCCTCCACCAGCCTGTACGCTTGGCAGTGCCTCCAAGAAATGAATGTGCAATTCATGCTACCTCCCCTACTGCTCAGGCAGATTGAAGGGAGATTTCCCAGTTCAGCTGCTTTCTGGAAGTTTCTCCAACAAGAGTTCACCGAAAAGGGCTTTGAGCTCATGCACACTTCTAGTTCTTTGTGGGCCATTGCTACCGGCATCCAAAAGCCTTGACTCCCCATATTCTGAGTTGGGAAGCCCTGAGAGTCAAGCCCTGGCAAGAGCCATAGGTGAGAGCCGTGGGGTCTCAGCCTTGTCCTTCCCAGGGCTCCTGGCCCACAGGTACAGAAGCAGAGGGGTTGACACAGCCCACCAGAAGAAACTCAGTCCCTGACCCTCACAATGAGTCTTTTCTCTTGGGCCAGCCTTTTGCTTTGCACAGGGGAGAGAGAAAGGAAGCGTGGGCGAGCATGGCACTGAGATGGCAGCTACCATAGTGTGATGAAGAAAGGATGACATGCGAAGTCCTTGTTCATGCATGACAGGAGCATGCTGGGCCTGCTCCAGCAGACCTCCACAGCCCTCACCACAGGAGAAGAGGAAGGCAGCTTGGCTAGCATGGCATGATGGCTCTCTAGGGCCATGGAAAGGCTACAAAAGTCCCACAGGGAACACAACAAGGTGTACAGTGCCCATGACCATGCCAAGAATATCTGTGGCCACCAGTGGCATGAGAACCAACTGCTCCTACCCACAACTTCCTTCAAGACAAATGCACAGAATCAGTTGTATCCTCTTAGTGTGACGCATGCACTGAACTCTATGGTGGCAACAGCAAGTCTGCAAGCCCTGGAAAATGTTAGTGTGTTCAAGGTTTTCTGAGCCCCACCTTCCAAAGTGGCCCATCTCAAAGTACACATCTCTCCTGCAGTCAGATCAACCAATATGCCAGAGGAAAGTTCTTGAGGGAAAACAAGGAGTGGGAATCGGGGGTAGGCTTCTCAGTTGTGCTCCCTGGAATGGCTGTCCAGGGGGTCCTGGTCTGGGCCTGGAGCCTGTGGTTAGAAGGGAATGGTGAGGGAGGAGGTATGTAGCAGTTAGTAACATTAGCTGAAGCCGAGACGGCCATACCGATCTCACACAGGTCCCCTCCGTAGCTGGGAAGGCATAAGCATGTGAAAGTGTCGATGGCATCCACGCAGGTGGCTCCATTCAGACAAGGGCTTGAGAGGCACTCATCAATGTCTGCAAGAAACCAAGGGCCACCATTAGGACTCCTGCCGGCAACTAGCAAGCACTGTGGCTTCCTTATGGGTGGCCAGCCCTGCTGCTCTCCAGTGGCTGGGAGAGGCCTGGCTAGATTTCCTGAGAACTGTTGCTGCTGCTGCTGCCGCCACCGCCACCATCTTGGAATGCTGAACTAAAGATCCAGACGGGTTTCCTTGGCTGTGTGCGACTCTTGATGGGCAAGCTTGGAGCCTTGGGGCAAGTTCTCCCAGTGAGTTGAAGACATCTGGTATTTCTGAAGCCAAATGCCTTTTGTGAGACTGAGCGTGGAGTTCCAAGATACTTTCTTTTGTGAATATTTCAAGAACCTGGGAGTCTCAACTGGTTATGAACACGGTGGTGGGTGAGGATGCTGGAAGTAAAAATCTTGAAACTTGGTTAGAGATCTATCTTCTGGCTTCCTCTGTAGTTGTGAGTCAGAGAAAAGAGGACAAGGCCATGTTGTTCTGGAATGAGCAATCTAGAAGTAATCTGCAGAATACAGAGCCAGGAGAAAATGGCTGCACGAGATATTTGCATGAAACTTGTGAGACTTTCTGGGCTGCAGACGTTTTCAGAAAATAAAACTCTAGAGTAGCTTGTGAAAATGAAGACAGAATCTTTTTCTTAGGATAGGAAACAAAATTTTAACATTTCCTTAAATAATAATCTTCCAGCTTAAAGCTTCAGAAGGTAGATATATCCAATGAGTAACAATTTCTAGATGGGGTCCAGCATGGCCAGTGGCAGGCAAACATGGGAAGCTGGCCAGATGCTCAGTAAGTGGCTCAGACCCAGTACCATATTGGTGGGTGTCCAGAGCCTCTTCATCTTGGGCAGCCTCTTCCTCCCTTCTGTTCTTCTGGTCCCAAGCCTCTGTCTGGCTGACTCAAATCAGTAGACCATTGGCCTTTGTCTCAACTGATTCACACTTAGTCAAAGTGGGGACTGATTCTCCCAGACTTGTCTTTTACATCTTTCTGGGATGCTAGGGGACCTGGTGAGACTTCTTCTTTTGTCATATATATATACTCTAAATTTGACTTTGAACATGCTATGTAGCTGAGGGTGACCTTGAACTTCTGATCCTCCTGATCTACTTCCCAAGCTCTGGAATTAGGTGTGCTGATTTATGTGGTGCTGGGGATTGAATCCGGGGCTTTGAACATGCTTGGCAAGTACTCTGTCAAGTGAGCTATATCTCCACGCTGGAAGATGCTAGTTCTTGGTACATGTAGTTGTGTTTATGAAACACTTAGGATCCCATGGTTTATGGATGGTGGTCTCCCCACAAGCAGTTAAGCCTTGACTTGGGAATGGGACCTATAGGTCCTTAATTTGTTCTAGGATTTAGTTCTTGCCTCCCATAAGAACAAATCAATTTTAAAGTCATTCCTCTGCTAGGTAGGATGGTCAAAGCACTCTCTTCTGGATCTTCAAACTCGTGTAGAGTGGACCTCTTCTTGGCCAAGTCTGTGTAGTAGGTGGCTGGAGAATCCCTGGTTCTCAAGCACCTTGCTCACCCCATGAACCTCCTTCTCTCCATATCGCTGGCATCTCTTCTCTTTCCATGAAGTTCTTAGCTTCATTTCAAGGAATGCACACCATGGATTAGAAACTCACAGTTCCAAGCAAACCCAAAATGCATGGAGGAACTGACTTGAAATCCCGGCATGCACTTGGTTTCCCAGCATGCACCAGGATTCCCAGCAGCAGCAGTAGCAGCAATAGGTCAGGTCAGTCGGCAGAGTGGAAGCTGGGAGCCGCTCTCCTGCTTGAGGAAAGCTATGTTCTCTTTTGTCCATTAGCTTCATTATGAGATGGGAAGCACTGGGGCAAAGGGGAGTTAAGCAAATGGAGGCGCTAAAGCAGTTGTACAGAGCGAGGGAACAGGGGAACCTCTGGGAAGAAGAGCTAGACATCAACTCCGGGTGGCTAAACCATGGGACAAAGGGTATCATGGGCAGGAAGCCTGGGGAGGCCAGGTAGTTTCCAGATGTACCAGAAACTTAGAGATGGCACCTTACCCACCCTGGGGTGTGGGACATTGTTTTCTTTTTGTGTTTGGCCAGGCATGAAATAGAATTTTTCAGTGATCTGTATTCCAAGATAAGGGGGGAAGGAAGAGCTACAATCATGAGAACCATAGAATGTATGATACTATTGGGTACTTCAGATAGGCTATGTATGCCTCTTTAGCTGTGGGAAAAGGCTGGTGTCCTGTGTGGAGCTTGCTAAGAAGAACCTGGGCATCTTGTCTCCTCTGCTTGGAAGAGCCACTCTAGACCTGGTGGTGGAGTGCCAGGCATTTGGGACATCTCTCAGCTTTTGGGACTAAGAGAAGAGGCAATTGAGTGTAGTAGGTGTAGGGAGGGACAATCCAGGGCAATGTCAGGCTTCATGGAAGAAGAGAAGAGAGGGAGGGGACCAATGTCTGATAAAACTGAGATGCTGCAGTCCCCTTTCCTTGTTCTCCCCCCACAGCCCGGTAGTACAGACACCATGATGTCACTGGCAGGCATGGAAACAAGTGAAGTGACTTTCCCACATTGGCAAGTCTGGGTGACAGATTGGAAGAGATGGAGGAGAGGCAGGAAATAAGACAGGAAGCTGAGCCTCTGTCCTAGGTGGAGGGAGACCCTGGGTCCTGAACTATGAGCATCTTGTTACCATTTATGCCATAGCCCCCAAGGACTCACACATCATCACTGAGCAGGGAGTTGGAAGACTGTCAGGACTGTCAGGTTCTTCTTCCCATGGCTACAACCAAAGGATGCTTGGTTCCTGAACTAGTTTCCCCAGCAATGTCTCTGACTTGGGAGAGACAATAACTGTGGACCTCCTAGTAAAGTTTGAAGGAGAGATTCATAAATAATCACTTTTGTGTTTAACTTGGACACCTCAGGCCACTGCTTTGAATAGGCCTTATCTAGGTTTGGCCTAGATCTGAGTTCAGGACCTCTAAAGGAACATGAATTTATCTGGATCATAGAAAATGCTGAATGAAGAGCAACAGTAGGGGTTTTCAGACTCAAGTGACACTCAGCTAAGTGGTTACCACTGATAAGAACTGCAGCATACACGGCACTCTTCAAGTCGTTCTGTGTACAACCTGTGCAGCTGTTTTTGATGATTCTGAACAGAACTTTCCAGGGACAAGGATCAGGGACCTTTCAAGCATAGAGAACATTTCTCAACACAGTGATATTCTTGACTCTGACTTTTTGACTGGACTTATTACATACTAAAAAGAAGGATTATAAGAGTATATCAATCTCAATTTGCTTTTTAATTTTGGGAGGTTTTTTTTTTAAGACAAGGTCTTCCTGTAGCCCTAGTTGGCCTGGAACTTGCTATGTAGACTGGGCTGGCCTCGACCTCATACATCAAGGCACAGATAAGCCTCTGCCTCCTGAGTGTTGGGACTAAAGGTATGTACTACCATACCTGGGCCCAATTTGCTTTTTTGAAAGAAGACTCTTTAAATTTAAAATTAGGTTATCATTCTTTATTTCAAGTGTTCTGTATTTTAAAAGTTGATCTTACGTATAACTTCAATTCAATTTAATTCATTGTTAATTAAAATAGTTAAGATCTGCCTATGAATTTCTGGTGAAGTCAAGAAGGTGTCATTTGTTGGGTGTGGTGACTCACGCCTGGAATCCTAGCACACAAAAGGCTGAAGTTAGAAGGATTACCACGAGATGGAAGCCAGCCAGGGAGTCATAGCAAGACCTTGTCTCAACCCACCCCCAAACCTCCAAAACAAAGCACTCTCTCACTCTCTCTCTCTCTCTCTCTCTCTCTCTCTCTCTCTCATTGCTTTGAAAGCATTCTTTTTCCGAAGGTAAAAGTTTCACCAAAATTCAAACATAACCCAGCAGGTAGAGAAGCCTGCATGGCACCAGTGATGGCTGAAAATGAACATGAGATATACTTAGGACAGTATTTTTCAACCTCAGCTAAACTTTATAACCATTGGAGCAATAAAAAAAGAGATGCCAATGCTGGAGTTTCTCTCTAGACCAATGGCCTCAGAATATCTCAGGGTGGTGCTCAGGCAGGATGCTTCTTAAAAGCACCTTGGATGGTTGTAAACAGCAATGGATTGACACCTAAATCAGAAGCATACTCTTTCTAGGTGCCATCAAGAACAAGGTAGAGAGACCGTTGATTTTTTATTACATGTAATTAATTAATTAATTAATTAATGTGTGTGTGTGTATGTATGTGTGTGTGCATGCAAGTACTTGCCACAACATGTGTGTGGAAGTCAGAGGACAACTTGCAGGAGTTGATTCTCTCCTTCCACTATGTGACTTCTAGGGATCAAATTCAAGTCGTCAGGCTTGGCAGCCAAGTGCTGTTACCTGCTCAGACATCTCACTGGCATGAAGACTGCAAATTTTTAACTGGATTAAGACACTATTACTTCTAAATGCTTAATAATGTGAGTATTCATGAAATAGACATTATTATTATTATTATACCAATTTGTCTATCTGTTTTATTTGCTTACACAGGATCTCATTTATCCCAGGCCTCAAACTCACAATGTAGTCCAAGATGATCTTGAACTTCTGATCTTCCTGCCTTAGTCTCTAAGTACTGGGATTATAGGTGTGCACCACCACACCCAGCCTTAGATGTTTATTCTGAAGTAGAAAGTACTGATTACTAATTTATCAAGAGCTTGTTTATAGAAGGAATACTGACTAGACAAGGCGACATTAATTATCAAATGTTTTCTTTTAGGACTAAATATAACTCCTCCTATGAGGAGAGGATCCTCTGAATATTCATCTTGCTACCTTTTGGTCCTTGGAGGAATCAGGTGGAGAGCTCTTTGGGGAGGGGAATGAAGGAAAGGAAAGAAATTCCCATGAAAATACAAATAATCCTTCCTCCCTTCCTCCCTTCCCTCCTTCCCTCCCTCCCTCCCTTCTGTTTTTTGAGACAAGTTTTCACTCTATAGCCCAGGCAGGCCTGGAGCTCTTGGTAATCCTCCTGTCTCAGCCTCCCAGTGTTGGGATTATAGGTGTAAACCACCATGCTGGGAAGAATAGTTAAGTTCCATTGTCACTTAATTTACCAATTTTAGACCTGTGGAGGACGTGAGTCAGTCTTCCCTCCCTCCCTCCCTCCCTCTCTCCCTTCTTCCCTCCTCCCTCCCTTCCTCCCTTCTCCCCCTCCTTCCCTACCTCCCTATTTTCCTTTCTTCCTTTCTTTTGAGGCAAGATCATACTATGTATCCCAGGCTGGCTTCTAATTCAAGATCTTCCTGCCTTAGCCACCCAAGTGCTGGGATTACAGGTATGTGTCACTATGCCCAGCCTGAAGAGACCAGTCTTGCTGTGACTTGATACTGGGTATCAAGTATCTGGTTGGAAGGAGTTGCTGAGGATGGGTGACCAGGTAGAGAGGGGTTTGACTACATAGTCTCTGGATCATTACGGTTTAGTGGAAACATTGTCCCCTAAGCAGTACAAAGAGCCCATATTCTCTGTCCTTGGGCGGGGGGCACAGTGTCCTCAAGTTCTGGCCTGCAGAGAATGATCCCAATGAGGGGAAGAGTGGGTGGCTAGCTACCTCAGCTTCTGTTTGTATATATACATATATTTATTGCATATGTGTCAAGTATTCAACATGTTCATTATATATGAGGATGGACTATATAGTGAGGTGTTAATTTGTGTGTATATTAACATCTATGCATACATGATTCTTGGTGTGTGATGTGAGAGTCACTGAGGTTTGGTACAGTAAGTCTGGTTTGTTGCTTTTTTTTCCTATGATTCATTTCTCCATTTTAGCATGTATTCTAGAAATGTAGCCCTTTTTTGAGAGCCCCTGTCTCAGTAGAGAGAGAGACTGGGGAGAGAGCCATTGGGGCATTGGAGAGAGACAGTGAGGCAGTGGAGAGAGTTAACTCAAGAGTAGGCTTGGAGGTAACGGGGTACCAGCTGGTGCTGAGGAGATGAGAAATGTCCACACAATGGAACATCTCAATTTGGGCGGGGGTACCTCCAATCAGAGGATCCCTAGTCTCCTCACCTATCCTACCAGCTGCTTGGCCCATGGCAAAGGACAAGCAGAGCATCTTGAGTGGTGGGAGCTCATGGGACATAGCCCACTGGTCAGAACTGCCTATAGCTGGGGTGGTGAGAAAAGGACTAGACCCTACCCAGACCCACAGGACTGCAAGAGCTCTTCTGGTGAAACTTGCTCTTGTGATGTGAGTCAGCCCCCATCAGGAATTCTGCACTAAAGCAGTGGAGTGTCTGCTCTACCTGATACTACCCCAGGTCCAACAGTTCTATGAAATATCAAAAGGCTCTTTTTGTGCAAGCGTGTGGAAGCCAGAAGTTGATGAGAAGCATCTTCTATTTCTCTCTGCTTTATTTATTTATTTATTTATTTGTTTGTTTGTTTGTTTTCATTTATTTTTGAGACAGGGTCTCTTATTGAACCTGGAACTTACCATTAGACTAACTGGTTAACGAGCTCTAGGGATTCTTCTGACTCTGTTCCTCACCCCAGTGCTGGAGTCAGATGGGCACCTCTTGGCCCCCTTTTTGCATGGGTGCTAGGGATCTGAACTCGTCTTCATGCTTCTGTGGCAGATATTTCACCAAGCCATCTCCTCAGCCCCAGAAATCTCGTGTTATCTTTAGAATCCAAATGTGTTTTGCATTGTGGTTATCATGAGATAACCATCGGCTTAACAGAAAACTACTAACCAGATGAATTGTTGAACTTGACTTTTTCCCCCACTTTCTGTTCAACTAGATGCTCTGGAAAGTTGTGTTGTGTTTGTCCAATGCCGTCTATTCCCATTACTGTCTATCTCTCTTCCCAGCTGACTTTGGTTATCACCTGCCTGTGTCCCCTTCCAGGGACTGCAAGGGTCAGTTTTTCTAGTGCCTGCCTGCACCCTCATGACCAATGAGGACTTCCCTGTGTCACAGTGTTCATCAGTGTGGCCAGCAGGCCACAGGCATGTGATATACCCCTCTGTTCCCTGACAGGTTCCTAGGCCACAGGGCTCCTATATACAGGACCCTAGGGGAAGGAGGGATGAGTATCAAGAACCCAACTGCTTGGGGACTGAAACAACCTCTGAGACCTCATGGTTAGGCTATGAGGTCCCCAAAGTCCTTGAGGATGGCTTTAGGTTGGCTTGTTCCTGAGGACTTTGCCCCCTGGAACCCTCAGCCCCTGACATCTAGCATACTCTTTCTCTGTGAAAGTTTTCCCAATATAATGGGGGCGGGGCAAGGTGTCCCCATGTCTAAAGCTACTGAAGCCTGGTGTCTGGGGCTGGATGGAGGTGAGACATTGTGACAGCCCAGAGAAGTCACAGTGTATTGGGACAGGGTGGGAACACAAGGTGTAACGTTAGGATAGAGCAAAAATGAGACTTCATAATTTCTTAAATTGTGCAGTTTTAGCCTTGCACAAAATAAATATTTGAACATAAATGCCACCAGCAGATTCATTCTGTCATCTCACTCACTTGGGAGCAAGGTACACAGGCCGTATTTCCAGCACCATCTAAACAGTCACTTCTAGGGCCCTGTGCCAAGTGCAGATGGTGGAACCCATATGTGAATGCTCATGTCACTCCACTACAGGTTAGTGTTGTGGGCATGGTATGATGCTCAGCGTGGGCTTTATCTGCATCTTTACCTTGTTAGTCTTCCTGGTACTATCTCACTTCGTGGATGAGGCCTGGGGAGGTTAAAAGTCTTATCTGAGGTTTCCCAGCTGAGCTTTTAACTTTACAGCTATACTGCCTCCTTCTGGGTTACCCCTGCCCATTGTCTCAATTGCCCAAACACATTGAAAGGGAAAACAACCTTAACGATACCTGTAATGGTTGACACTGTTTCACCTGACCCTTCTGGAAAAGTTGGCCTAGAGGCATCTGTCAGGGACATGGCTGTTTCTGCTGTTTGAGTCTCTTCTCCTGAGGGTGAGGGGCTCGAGGAAGATTCGACTTCTTGATGTGTCTCTGCTGGGCGCTGGGTCTGCTGGGCCCACTCTGACTCTGGGAGGCTGGTGCTGATGACAACATCCAGCTCTGAGATGTGACCTGACAGGTCTCCGCTGATTTCAGTCCTGTCTCCAGATGCTGTGGGGGTGGTGGAAAGCACTCTTGATGTCTCTGTGTCTATACTGGAGGTGGTGGTGGACTCTCCACTCACTTCTAAGGTAGCCGACCCCTCCCTGGAGCCTTCCTGAAAGTTCCACGAGGTGCTGCTCACCCCCAGGCCTGAGGATGTCTCCAGATCTACTTTGTGGAAGGCAGAGGTGGTCTTATGCAGATCTGGGGAGCCAGACAACTCACCACTAGCCTCAGGGGTGGCAGACACCCCACCCTCCAGGTAGACAGATGGTTCACTGCTGGCTTCTAGGACTGACGATGCTTCTACCTCAGACCCAGGGAAGGCTGTCACAGCTTCATCAAGGTCCCCAGATGCTGAGGCTTCCCCACTTGCCTCAAGGAGCTGGGGGGTACGTGTGACAGGGGGTCCTTGGCCGAGTTCCTGGGAAACAGTTGGTTCAGTCACACCCTCCACTAACTCTGATGTGATTAAAGTGACTTCTGAAAGCCCCAAGGTCTCTCCACTGGCACTTGTGGCAGCTGAAGATTCTCCACTTATATCAGAGGTGCTGGGAAAATCCCCGCTAAAATATGGAGTACTTGATAACTCTGTGCTGGATTCCATCAGTCCAGATTGCAGAGTGCTTAGGTGTAAAGATCCAGAATGGTCTCCAGATACATCTGGTGCTCCAGAATGGGCACCACTGAGTTCCAGAATTCCCGAAGGCCCCTCTTCAGCTTCTTGAGCTGTTGGACCTTGGGTTATAGATTCCACCAAAGTTCTGTCTATGAGAGACACAGTGGGGAAACCTGAGGCAAGTCCACTGCCATCATAAACTCCTGAGGGCAAGCTACTCCCAGTCTCAACTCCAGAGAATTCTCCACTGACTTCAGCTACTCCACTTGGGAGGCCACTGAATTCTGGAGCTGGGGACATAAACTCACCAGAATCGATTGTTCCAGAAGACTGCCCACTGCCATCCACCAACCCAGATGTGCCAGACACATCTGTCTCCCCTGAAGGGAGGCCGCTGAGTTCCACAGACCCTAAACCTTCTTCCTCTTTAAATATGGTAGGGGTCACTTCAACCAAACCAGTGTCCACAAATGTGATGCCAGAAGAGTCCCCACTGCCACTCATGGTGCCAGAAGCCAGGTCTGGAGTTCCAGGTGTGGTTCCACTGAACACTGACAACCCTGAGGGCTGCCCACTGAGATCAGGAACCCCGGATGTTTCTCCACTCAGGTCAGTTATGCTAAAGGACTGGCCACTGCCCAAAAGAACTCCAGATGCTTCTCCACTGACATCTGATTGTCCAGAGGACAGTCCACTAAGCTCAGTCACACCAGATGTTATCCCACTGGTGTCAGGAAATCCCGATGGCTGCCCACTAACTTCAGGAATCCCTGATGTTTTTCCACTGATGTCAGGAGACCCAGATGGCTGTCCACTAACACCAAAGAATTCAGATATTTCTCCACTGATATCAGGAGACCCAGAAGCTTGGCCACTGAATTCAGTTCCTGAAGGGAGACCACTGATGTCCCCACTACTGTCCAACTCACCGAAGGGCATCCCTGATATGTCTCCTGAACTACTGATGCCAATGGTTCCCCTCCCTTCCAGTTCACTAGCAGTAGTGGCTGTGACCACTTCCACTAATGTACTATCCACTAGAGAGACAGTTGGGAACCCAGATGAAAACCCACTAAAGTCAGGCAGGCCGGAATATTCACCACTAAATCCAGAGGGAAGGCCACTTGTTTCTGGAGTTTGCCCACTCCCTACAGTTCCAGAAAGCGGCCCACCAAAGTCCAGGGCTCCAGAAGCAGACCCCACCACGTCTTCTTTTCCAGAAGGCAACCCACCAAGGTCCTCAGCTCCAGAAGCTGAGGTCTCTAGGCCCTCTCTTCCAGAAGGAAGTCCACTGAGGTCATCACCTACCCCAGAAATAGGACTCTCTAGATCTTCACTTCCAGAAGGAAGCCCACTGACATCTTCTACTCCAGAGGCAGAAGTTTCTAGGCCTTCTCTTTCAGTAGAAGTTTGGCTGATGTTCTTTACTCCAGAGGTAGAAGTCTCTAGACCTTCTCCAGAAGGAAGCCCACTGCCACCCTCTACTCCAGAAGCAGAGGTCTCTAGACCTTCTCCTCCTGAAAGAATCCCACTGACATCTTCTACTCCAGAAGCAGAAGTTTCTAGACCTTCTCCTTCAGTAGGAAGCACACTTATGTCCTCTATTCCAGAGGCAGAAGTTTCCAGATCTTCTCTTCCAGTAGGAAGCACACTGATGACCTCTATTCCAGAGGCAGAAGTCTCTAGACCTTCACCTCCAGAAGGAAGTCCACTGAGGTCACCTACTCCAGAGGCAGAAGTCTCTAGACCTTCTAGACCTTCTCTTCCAGAAGGAAGTCCACTAACATCCTCTACTCCAGAAGCAGAAGTCTCTAGATCTCCTCTTTCAGTAGGAAGCTGATTGACATCCTCTATTCCAGAAGCAGATGTTTCTAAACCTTCTCCTGAAGGAAGAAGTCCACTCAGTTCCCCTACTCCAGAGGCAGATATTTCTAGATGTTCTTCTCCAGTAGGAAACACACTGATGTCCACTCTACCAGTGGCAGAAGTTTCTAGACCTTCTCCTCCTGAAGGAAGTCCACTCAGTTCCTCTACTCCAGAGGCAGAAGTTTCTAGACCTTCTCCTCCTGAAGGAAGTCCACTCTGTTCCTCTACTCCAGAGGCAGAAGTTTCTAGACCTTCTCCTGAAGGAAGTCCACTCAGTTCCTCTACTCCAGAGGCAGAAGTTTCGAGACCTTCTCCTCCAGTAGGAAGCACACTGATGTCCTCTACTCCAGAGGCAGAAGTTTCTAGACCTCCTCTGGTAGGAAGCACACTGATGTCCTCTGCTCCAGAGGCAGAAGTTTCTAGACCTTCTCCTCCGGTAGGAAGCACACTGATGTCCTCTACTCCAGAGGCAGAAGTTTCTAGACCTTCTCCTCCAGTAGGAAGCACACTGATGTCCTCTACTCCAGAGGGAAGCCCACTGATATCCTCTACTCCAGAGGCAGAAGTTTCTATACTTTCCCTTCCAGAAGGCAGCCTGCTGAGGTCTCCTGCTCCAGAGGCAGATCCCTCCAGGCCCTCACCTCCAGAGGGCAGCCTGCCAACTGTGGGAGTGTGGGACCACTCAATTCCTTCTCCATCCCCTGAGGTCAGTCCACTTCCCTCAGGCAGGCCTGAGCCTACTGTGGGGCTGAGACCACTGGAGTCAAGGTCACCAGAGGGCAGTCCACTTGCACTGACCCCTGATGGCTGCCCACTGGAATCAAGGTGTCCTGAAGCTTCTCCACTGCTTGTGAAGTCACCACTGAGGTCAGGTGCCCCAGATGCCTCCCCAGAGCCTGGTTGCTCTGTCCTGCCTGGCACTGCAAGTGAAGATGTATATGGCTCCTCTGAGGTGGAAGGCACTTCTGAGGCAGAGGACTCTTCAGTGGCTGAAGGGCCTTCAGTGCGGTCCTCTGCTGCTGGGATAGTGGGAGGCCACGTGGGAGGGATCCCTGGAGGAAAGAATGAAGCCAAGGTAAGGTGGAGTGGTGAACTGTGCTCCATTTCAAGGTCATTAAATGAGGCTGGACTTCCTTCCACAGTAAAGTTCAAGGCACATGTTAAATGCTTTCTAAGGCATATGCTTAAGTGTCTTGGTGAAGGAGGCAGAAAGGAGGGAAGGAGGAAGAAGTAAAGAAGGAAGGAGGGAGGAAGCAACGAAGAAAGGAAGAAAGGAAAGAAGGAAGAGAGAGAGGAGAGCAGGAAGCTTGCTCTACTACCTTCAGGGCCACAGGCTACATGGGCTGTGCTTTGTAAGACTCTAAGGGCCACAGTCTTTTCTACCCACTGGATACAGGAGCCATCACCAAAGAAAACCAAGGTTCCCCTTCAAATATGTCCATGTTATCTTTTGTATCTAAACCCATTGTTTTCAGAGTGTGGTCCCTGGACTAGCATCCCTAGCATCTCTTAGGATCTTGGTCAACAAGTAAATTCCCAGCCTCCACCCTAACCTTCTGTGGACACAGGAGCTCGTGGTTGGGTTTGGGAGCTGTTTTTACAAGCCCTTTCAGGCCAGGAAGACCAGGTGGTACTGTTCATACCGTGCATTAAATTTTACAGAGGTCCCTATTACAGAGGATCTGGAAAGTGGAGAAGAAAAGAAAAACAGCTTCTCCATTTTAAACATGGTTTCATTATTTTCTCTTGACGGTTTCCATTGTTTTTTTTTTGTTGTTTTTTTTTTTTTCAAAACCACAAGTGAGGGTGCAGCTATTTGTTTACTGAGTGCTTAAATATGCATGCAGCAACCCTCCATGCTTGCCTTTTATTAACCCATGAGAGAAGAAAAGAAAAACAGCTTCTCCATTTTAAACATGGTTTCATTATTTTCTCTTGACGGTTTCCATTTTTTTTTTTTTTCAAAACCACTTACAACAGGGCCTGGTGGTACAGGCCTATAATCCTAGCTACTTCAGAGGCTGAGGCAGGAGGGTTGTAAGTTCAAGGTCAGCCTGGTTGAGACCATATCTCAAAATAAAAAAGTAAAGGCTAGAGAAATGGCTCAGTAGAGTGCTTATTTTTGCAGAAGACCAGAGTTCATTTCCCAGGACTCATAACAGGAGGCTCAAACTGCCTATAACTCTGGATTCAGAGGACCCAATGCCCTCTTCTGGCTTTGAGGACACTCACACACAGGTATGTGTACACACACACACACACACACACACACACACACACACACACACGCCTGCAAATACATAGAATAAATCTTTTCTAAAAATTAAGAAATAGAGGGCTGAGGATATAGCTCAGTTGTAGAATACTTTTCTAGCATGTGTTAGGCCCTGAGTTTAATCTTTAGTATTGAGAAACAAAACCAAACCAAAAACTCAACAAACTTGATCTTAGGATCAAGGTTTGGGAACTGTTTCCTTCATCCTCTTTAGTCCCATCTGATGTAATGCAGAGAGAGTTCAGGAAGTTCTGGCTGTGCCTGACCCAAAAGAAGGCCATGGAAAGGGAAAAATGAGGAGACAGGTCATGGCCCAACTTCTAACTGTCACCACCTTCCTGGTTATTTTCATTCTATTGGATGGAGATCATCCTACAGAGATTAAAAGGCTAGGGCAGGGGCTAGTAAGATGGCTCAAAGGTGCCTGCTGCTAAGCCCCACAACCTGAGCTGTTCTGGGAATCCACATGGTGGAAGGAGAGAACTGACTCCTGCAAGTTGCCCTCTGACCTCCGCTTCCATGCTATGCTGTATAGGTGCATACATGTATGCTCACATGCATGGGAAAAGTGTAATTTTAAAAAGCAGGCTAGAGTAGAGCTGTCCATACACAGGGACAGTGACTGAAGGTCCCCTGCTTACCCCAGAGCTGGGTTTGGGGGTTGCTGGAGAAATAAAGGAAAAGAAATAGGGAGTGTATGTGTGTCGTGGTGGGAACGTTTATAGACAAGACCTTCCTTGTTGCTGTGAGGCACATCTTACAGGCCAGCTAGGATGACCAAGTTGACCTGATGGCATACCCAGGCTGAAGAAACAGCAGGGGCTCCAGGCAGGGTTCCCCGACTACTCCCACCTCACCTGTGCACACCATGGGTGTGTGTGGCTTCAGGCACATCCCAGAGCCTGGCCAAACCCACCTGGCAGTGGGGATGTGCCTACTGGGGTGTAGGCTGATTCCCATTCTGTCTGGTTTCCTGGTTCAGTGGTGAAACCTGGAACTGCAGTTGTCACTTCCTCCTCAGGGACAGCAGCCACACCAGGCCCCACTCGAGTGACGATGATCCAATCCTCTACCTCAGAGGATGGCGTGGGCGTAACACCTTCTTCTGAAGAGGGCACCCCTGACACACCTAAAGAAGATGTGGGAGATGAGGCCCTGGCCTTGTCAGAGAACCATCCATGGCCAGCCTTTCTAGGATAGAGGGGCAAGAGGATTCTGAGGTGTACCTTGACTGCAAGAGCCTTGCTACCCCAGTGCCTTGCTGACCCCCACTCCAGATCATCGAGTTGACTGTTTGCCATTTGTATCTACTGTATAATGTCACCATATAGCCTCTGCTCCTAGCAACTTAGTGGTATCTCCCTCTACAGTCAATCATACGTTGTTGGCATTGCTCTAAAGCCTTTATGTATATAAACCCTTTTTACCTCACAATAGCCTATGACAAAGATGAAATTTCCATTTAACAAGTGGAGAAGAAACATTATGTGACTTTCCCAAGGTCAATGACTTAGAAGTGGCAGAGCTAATCTTTGAATTCAAGATCTGATCATCTTGGAGGCACAGGTAAGTTCTGAGTGTGCCTAAAAAGGAGGAATATCTTTAAATTCCATATAGCTATCCTGGCATTTGTAGAGGACAGGATGATGGCAGGATTCACTAATTGAATAACTTCTGTTTTGGGAGAAGGCAGCAGCCTGGGGGAGGTCAAGAAGGAATCAACTTCTCTACAGGATAAAAATGAGGCTGAGTTCACTGAGGCAAGATGTCCCTATACAGCTCAAGTCAGCCTCAAATTATGGCAATCCTCCTGCCTTAGCCTCCTGATTGCTGAGATTGCAGGTGTGTGCTACCATGTGTGACTGAACAGATGTTTTAAAAGGTGCCCCTTGCAGGGCATAGTGACACATGCCTGTAATACTAGCACTTGGGAGGTGGAGACAGGAGGATCAGGAGTTCAAGACCAGCCTCAGCAGCCTGAAATTCTGTCTCAAAATAAAAAAAAAAGTTAAAACCCAGATGTTCCTAAGGTCTGGGAAACTTGGAGGTCATTAGTTTTTTTTCCTTATTTAAAAATAATTTTGGGGTGCTGAAGAGATATCTCAGTGATTAAAATCATGTATTAATCTTACAGAGGACCTGAGTTTGGTTCCCAGAAGCCACATTGGTGGTTCACAACTGCCACAACTCCAGCTCCAGGGGGATCTAATGTCTCATCCTCTTTTGTGCACATATTGCTCCCTTATACATATAATTAAAAATAATAAAAATATATCTTTAAAAATAATTTTAGATTCACAGGAAATTGTGAGGATACTCATCTTTGATGTGTAATGTAGAAAACACAGCCTACAATAGTCTATACTCTCCATTCTGGTAGGTGCATGCAAGCCCTATATGGATGCTGTGAATTCATCCAGTCAGAGACCAGTACTGCCTTGGCTACACTGTGACCAGCCTGCTTTAGTGCTTGATGGTATCACTCTCAGAGGTCTAACTGGTATTTCATGGCCCATGTCATACTTAACTTCAGTTGTCCACTTGATACAACCTAGAGTTACCTGGGAAGAGGGAATTTCAGCTGAGGAATTTCCTCATCAAAATGGCCTGTGGGCATGCCTATGGGGCATGTTCTTGACTGCTAATTGATGTAGAAGGGTTCAGCTCACTGGACAGTGCCATCTGGGCAGGTGGGACCAGGCTGGATAAAATGGTAGCTGAGCAGGCCAGAGGGGTTAAGCCAGTAAGTCGTGTTCCTCTGTTGGCTTTTGCTGCAAACTCCTGACTTCAACATTTGCCCTGCTCGTAAGGATGGACTGTAACTTGGAAGCTGTAATAAACTCTCTCCTCTCCAAGCTGCTTTTGGTCAGTGTTTTATCACAGCAATGGAGATGCAAACTAGGAAATGGGACATGGTTGTGTGTGCCTAGCATGGTTCAGTTAAGCATGCAAATGACTGTGCTTGACAAAGAATGCTAGAATTATTTGATTAAACTCATCATGAACTATAAGTAGGACTCAGTAAGCTCACTAAATTTATTGGTTCCCCAGTAAAACTTTAATCAAACATTGGTTTGACACTAGAACCCTAAAAGGGAATAAGCATTGCTTAGTATCCCAAGGAAAAAAATTCTCACAACAGATGAAAAATTTATTTCTTAATGTTATGTCTTATAATTATTAAAAAAGAAAATGAGAATGTAAAAGATGTTAAAAGGATATAGGAATGGATATATTTTCTAAAATAGAAAGAATGAGACAGCCTAAAGAAGTGATGAAGGTCTGTGTAGGTTTGTTATGATATACAAAGGATGAGACAAAAATAATATACACATACTGTTAAAATTTCTAAGGTCATAGTTTAGTCAGCTAGTTTAAGGAATAAAATATATATCTAGTCAAGGTTTATCTGAGAACATTTGTTTTTTTTTACCCAAGCTTTATCTACATAGCACATGGTAATTAAAAGCACCAGGCTAGTGGAACTAACCTTATTGAATGTTTAACAGCCATACTTTGAGGCCTATACTAATTTGGTCAGAGGGACTTAAAGGACAGTGTTTGCCCCTTGCCCTCCAAGGTCGACTAAGTTCCAGGGGACTATGGGGCATCTCTCAAAATGTCCTGTAACTGTGGTCCTCTTGTTCAGGGAGGTCATGGAGACCCCACCAGATGGGCTTGAGCCAGTGTCCAGTCTACAAAGAGGAGGGTCAACCAAGAAGAAACATTTCCTCCATGCTTCCAAGTGAAGCCAGCCATGGTTGAGCAGGACCTTTGATTTATCTTCACATAGATGGAATTGGTAAAAGAAAGGCGCCAGGGACTCCTCCCAAGCCCATGTGACCCCTGAGGAACAGATCCTCAAACGACCTTAAGTGTAAATATAAATTGATTTATTTATAATCAGTTTAACTGTATGGGCCAACTGTATGGTCTTAAACACCCAAAAGGAAAGTATAACCAAAGAGTAAAGTACTCAATATATTTCTTTGAGCTCAAGGGATTACATGTCTCAGACATTAGGCTTAAGTCCATATAAAAAGTTATTTAGACAATTATTTCTCATTGATGATTTTGTTCTGAATCAGAAAGTGCTGCTCAGATGTAAGACTTCAAATCTTGGTCTGCAATACTGTAGTGCCCTGTAGCTAAGGGAAACAACACACTATTGTTCTAAAATGATGGCCACGCTTGTTTTCTCCCCCTATCTAGAAGCCTTTGAGAGGGAACTGACACTGATTCTAACCTTACTCCAACAGCTATCAAAATGCCTGAAAGCAAATCCTGAATCCATTACTCTCAAGTCCAACCTTGGCAGACAAAAGAAAAATGAGAGGAACCCAATAGGGAGATGTTTTTGGAAGCTCTCATCAAGAAATTCCAGTGGACTCTAATGTGAACATTTGAAATTTGCCCTGTTCTGACTTTTTTCTAGTTCCCTGTCTAGAATGTGTAATGCTAATTACTCTTGCCTTTACTTCTCCTTCACATCTCCTATTCACCAGTCAAAGACTTTCTTTTCCCCTTACAGATAAGAGTTATGCAATTTGAGAGTCTTTTAGATAGACTCACTGAAGGGGTACTCCAGTTGCCTCACCCTGCATCCCTGTTCAGCATGGAAGAAGCCAGAGCGGTCTGCATCCAGATTCCATATACAAAAGCTGGGTAACCTCTTCAGAGGATGGTGTGATAAGAATGTGAGGTAGGAATTGGCTAGACAGTTAGTGTAAAAAGACCCCAAGGAAAAGTAGCCAATTTATTGGCTAAAAGTCAAAATGTCCTTGGGCCTCTTAGCGACATACTTTGTTCCAAAGGCCAAAAATGTCAAAAGCATTTGGGAGCTCTTATCTAATCCTTAAAAGATTTTAGGGTTACCTCTTCAGAGGGGCAATGTTAGAGTAGCCAAAAGCCCCATTAAAAAAAAGAAGAGCACATGAAGTTATCAGAAAATAGTGATGGGGAGATATGGGAGGAGTTGGAGGGGAGGGAGTGGGCATGGATTTGATCAAAACACCTTACATGCTTATATCCCTGTATGATATTCTCAATAAGTAATTTTTTTGTCTTTTTGAAACAGGGTCACCCCGTAGCCCCAGCTGTCCTGGAACTCACTATGTAGACCAGGCTGGCCTCGAACTCACAAAGATCTGCCTGCCTCTGCCTCCCAAGTGCTGGGATTAAAGGTGTGCGCCACCACGCCCACCAAATAAATAATTTTTTTAAAAAAAGCAGGCTGAGCATAGGTCAGGAGAGCAAGCCAGTAAGCAACATTCCTCCATGGTCTCTGCTTTAGTTCTTGCTCCAGGTTCCTGCCTTGAGTCCCTGCCTGACTTCCCTAAGTGGTAGACTGTCACTTGGAAAAGTAAGATACAATAAACCCTTTCTTCCCCTAAGTTCTTTTGGTTACAGTGTTTCTGTCACAGCAACAGAAAGCTAGCTAGATCACCCAGTGACATCACAGCCTTTGAACACCGTAGTATAACACGGGACCCATATGTTTGTGGTGATGCTGTTGAAAACAAACCCACTGCATAACCAGTCACATAAAAATACAGCAATACTGTTATATACCGTAACTTGATGACAAGAAGACTATTGATGGTTTGTGAATTAACTGCTGTACTTTTTTGTCATTTGAATGTGTTCATTCTAATAACAAAAGGAATTTATTATGGAAAAAAAAGAAATACAAGTAGGAAAGATTTTGACCAGAGTGTTCAAATTAAAACAGTATGTAGCACACACATACACATGAGGTGCATCACGTATACTATCCTAGTTAATATCTGTATGCAACTTTCTTTGAAGTAGGAACTAATTTTTAAAACATTTTATTATTTCTATTTTATTATGTATATGAGTGTATTGCCTGCATGTAGGTAAGTGCAATGCCTGTGGAGGTCAGATGAGAATGTCAGATCCCCTGGAACTGGAGCTACGGATGGCTGTTAAACATCATGTGGGTGCTAGGAATTGAACCCAGGTCCTCTGCAGGAGCAGCCAGGGCTCTAAACCACTGAGCCATCTCTGTACCCCTGAAGTAGGAACTGTTTTGTCACTATTTGTGGATGAAGCAGAGGAAGACAGAAGTTAAGCCATTTGTCTAGGATCACAGAGCTATTAAGCAGCACAGCCAAAAATCCAAGTTCAGTCTGCCTAATCTTTTGTTGTTTTGAAACAGGGTCTCATGTAGTATAGGCTGCCCTCTAACTCACTATATAGCCAAGGATGACCTTGAACTTCATCTATTCTACGTAATACTGGGAATCAAATCCTGGGCCTTTTGCATGCTAGGCAAGCACTCTACCAACTGAGTTGCATCTCTAGCCTTGATTCACTTGATCTGAAAGTCCAAGTGTTTGTGTGTATGTGTTTGTGTGTGCACATGTGCATGTGCCTTGGGATCAACAACTAGAATCATGCTGGCTTCTGAACTGCCCCTGCCCAGCTCCAGCAGGACCTTTCTTTTCCTTGCTCTGATAGGTAGCCACAGTGGGCAGGGGCCAGGAGGCAGAGCCTACAGAAGCCCTCTCAGGCAGAGGGAGTGCTGGAGGAGAGGTGAAGATCATACCTCGAAAGCAGAAGGCATGATGCCTGGACAGTGGGTCTGGTAGGCCAGTCTGGTTTGGGTAGAGGTAGACAGTTCTCACACCTGGCTTGTCCCCCCCACAGGCAGGCCGAGGAGTAACGATGGGGTAGCGGAGGCTGCCATCAGCCAGCCAACCAGCATAGCACTTGTCCAGGCCACGGCTCCAGGCTGCATAGAGCTGGCCTGTGGAGGCCAGGGTAGCATTTTGGGCTTCACAGAATGCCAGCGCTTCCTGAAAAGTGAACTGCTCCAGGCTTGTGGCAAAGAACACTTCTCCTAAGGACAGAGACAGTGGTAATGTGACCTTCCATGTGTGCCACCAGAATAGCTCTGTTCACCCAGGGACAGAGCTCCTGGCACCCCTACCTTGCTTACTAGGGTTGTTCCCCACCCATGTGGTATACACTCGTGTAGACACCAGCCCTATTCATTCAGTCACACTTCTCCCAGGCCACACCTCTTAGATCTCTTGGAACCCTGGGAAATAGAGACCAGCTGCTCCAGTTTGTACTGGCTGGGAATTTTTCTGAGACTTGGGGCTAAAAAAGACAGTGTCGTGGTCAAGCTGGGCTGAGCTAGCCACTCCATGGGGAACTGGTTTCTACCCCCTTCTCTTTTCCAGTTCCACCTAAACGTCCCTCCCCCGATTAGGACAGGTGGCCGGCTAGAGCGCCCATGTGCTCACCCTCCATGCACTTACCCCCCATGCACTTACCCCCAACCATGCTCTCTCTTGGAGCACAGTGACTGCTGTGGACCTGACCCCCATTTCCAGCACCCACAGAGCACCCAGGTGCCCATCCTGTCTGGGTTAGGAAGATGGAAGCTCGTGTCTACATAGAACTCACTGTGCCACACACTCTTCTCTTATATCTCAAGCAATACCTTGAAAAACCTCTGTATGGGTAAGTCTACCCCATTTTACAGATGAGGAAACTGAGGCTTACAGAGGTTAAACAAACTGCCCAGGGTTCTGAAATGAGTGGCAGTGCTGAAGCTTTTCTAGAACATGGGCATTTCTCAAGTTGGGTTCAGTAGAAAAGCAGTTTGTTGACTTCCATGGAAATTAAAAGTGAAACAAAAGGAAGGTTGAATAAGCTTGGTTAGAGAGTTAAAGAGGACTGCAGAGCTTCTCAGAGCTTTTGATTTATTCATGGGCCTTGGGACGCTCCAGTAAGCAGATGGCATGTAGAACATTTATTTATAATAAATTGATCAATTTACCCACTGAACTCACTGCTGTTTAGAGAGGCAGCATTACCTTATAACACTGAGGGTGTGGGAATCATATGAGCCTTTGACTGGGAGAAGGAAATTGAATTTTAGAGGGCCCAGGAGGGCCTTCTTTCTACCTGGAACTCTGGATGGGAACAGGGCAGCGTGGGTGGTGGTAATTCCTTCCCTCTACTCTGTCTCCCTCTCAACCCCTGCCTGTCTAGGTCCCTCAGTGTGAGAAAGTGGCCTGTACCCTCGAGCTTGTCCACATAGCAGTAGACGTCATAGGTTTCTGATGATGGGCGCACACCATAGGTCCTGACCCCAGGGCTGCTGTCCTTGTCACCCACACATGGGGTCCGTGGGCTCACAATGGGGTATCTGCAAAAGAGGATGGGAAGAGGATGAGGGGCCCATCCTGAGGGTTGGGGGGGTATGTCTTGGGTTGTCTGTTGGAGACGGTGTGCCCACACAGCAAGTCTCCTGAGCAGCTGGAGGAAAGTTGTGGGGCCCCTGACTTCAGAAGAGTGTCCATTATATAGGAGGGCACTATGCCAAGCTGGAGGGGATGGAGTTACTTGAAGGGGGTCTCTAGAGTAGGGGCCTCCTCTGTTTGCTCTGTTGTAGGGGAATGACTAAGAACTTGACATAGGGCCAGAGAGATGGCTCGGCAGTTAAGAGTGCTTGCTGCTCTTCCAGAGGACTCAAGTTTTGTTCCCAGCACCCATTTTGGGTGGCTCACAACCACCTATAATTCCAGCTCCAGGGGATCCTCCTCTGGCCTCTACAGGCATCTACATACATGGGACATACTCTCATATACACACACCCATCCACATGCATAAATTTTAAAAATGATATAAAACAAACCTGACATAGCCCAGAACCCAACATCATCTTTCAGAATATGCCTTGGTTTGGGGTGTGTGTGAAATTTAGGGGGCTATGCAGTCATTAATGAGCTCATTAGCTGTGCTAAATGTCATGCCAAACTGGGGACTTCTCAGTTGGGGTTGGGAGGGACAAGCTTGCCCTTCACCTGACAGTCTGGTCCTGCAGCCAGCCAGCATCACACTGCTCATAGCCTGCCTCATAGGCAGCCTGGAGCTGCTCAGGTGTGGCCATGACCGCCCCAGTGCGCATGCAGGCCTGCTGTGCCTCCTCAAAGGTCAGAGCGTAGCGAGTGGAGCCTGGGCGGTAGTGGAACACAACCCCTGGTGGGGAGGAGAGAAGAGAAGGAGACAGAGGTAATTAAACTGATTCAAGAAGGGCCTGTGCTAAGCCTACCTCCTTCATTCAGACAATGGATTTAGCTGGGCAATTCCGGCTGAAGTCCTGCCCCACTTGGTGACATCATGAAGGTGGCAACGTCCATCTGTATGGTCCCCAAAGACCCTTTATGGAAATCACACCAGAATGTCCTTTCTGTTTAGAGATTTCCATTTGGGGAGCAGTTAGACTCTGCTGAATGACATCTATTAAGGGAATACCATCTGCCCAGCCCAGGGGCTGAAAGCATTCTCCAGAAAGAGCTAGATAATAACTATATCAGGCTTTTTCTTTCTCCTTGAAACAGACTAGTACCAAACTCAGAATCCTCCTGCTTCAACTTCTGGAATGCTAGGATTACAGGCATGTGCTACCATATTCAGACCTCTATAGTAGGCTCAGTGACTGGTCAGGAGATTTTTGTTACAATTGCTCAGCTCAGCTCCAATCATCCTGTTAGCCATAGGCAAAATATTAACAAGAAGATCTGACTTTGTTACAATCAAGTTTTGTTTTTAGACACTGAAATTTGAAACTTACATAATTTTCACGTGTCACAAGATATCCTTCTATTGACTTCCCCCTCTTCAACTAATTAAGAATGTGGGGGCATTCTTAGTTCATGGGCCATACCAAAACAGCTGCATTCGGCCTGCTGACTAATGTTTGCTGATTGTTATCCTGGCAGGAGGGACAAGGCTGGGCAAAGTCACAGGGTCACCCAGAACAGTGGTTTTCAAGTGGGTCTGTTTTGTGTAGAACCACATGGCACTTTCATCTGCCTGATATAGACCATGTTTTTCATACGTGACTTCATTTGAAGTTAATTTGTAGTTAAAAAGTGGACATGACAGCCCTGCCTGTCCCCTTGGGAATGCACTTACCCCCCGGCAAGTGGGCCTGCCCAGGAACTGCAGCTGCACCGGGGGCAATTGTCACTTGTACCACCAGGTCCTCACTGGTGAAAGCCGTGGCAAAGCCCAGCCCTGGTGTGACTTCCTCTGGAAGACCCCAGGGCCTGGAGGCCTCTTCAGTCCTGTTCTCAGCCTCAGGGAAAGTTGTGGCTCCTATATCAGGGACAAATGTGAGGGGCTCTTCTGGCTCCAGGATGGTGGGGGACATATCAAAGATAGGCTTTGCAGTGAGGATCACGTTGCCTCGGGCTTCTCCCTCTGTGACATTCTGGGACAGGGGTAGCTCCACATCCGGCCAGGTCACTGTCTGGATGGTGATGTCCTCACCACCAACCCCGAAGAAGTTTTCTGGGATGTCTATAAAGTCTTCACCTGGGACGGGACAAAGGCAAACTTCAGTCACTGAGCTTGGGACTGTTTTGAGGGGATGAGAGGTGAGTGTGCCCCATATCCTTCCACCTGGTTAGACCCAGGCACTGTACAAGGGCCTCAGCTGTCTGAGTTCAGTAGCTCCTCCGTACTCTCAGGGCACTGGTTCCAGATGCCAAACTCTGCCGATGCTCCAGTCCTTCATATAACCTATGCACCTCCACTGGTATGCTTAAATCATCTTTCGATTACTTACAATACCCAATATCGTTCAAGTGCTGTGCCAAGAGTTGTTATACTGTTTTGTTTGGGGAATAATGACAAGAAAAGTTTGTATATATTGAGCATGATACAATTACAGATACCCATAGAAATCTGAGGTTGGTTGAATTTGCAGATGGAGGAATTAGGATACTCACAATATATTGATCAACCAGCCCACTGCTTATAAAATTAGTTCCCATCTCAGCCTCCTTTCCCACTCAACCCAAGCCTCCACTTTGCCCATCTTCTGAGCACCTTACTGAGAGTCTAATGTAAATCAGTGTTAAAGGGAGATCATAGAATTCTGCAGAGGTGGTTCAGGAGATTGATAAAGGTGTTGGAGAATTGCTTACTCTCGTGATCATAGACACAGAAGGGACTGGCAGTTAATAAATAAATAATACTTAAAAACAAATAAATAAAAAGGATGTTCATGAGGATGATACTTCCAAAGAGTGGCTGAGACTCAAAAGGTGAAGAGAGGCTTTAGGGAGCGGGGAGTCCCTCTTCATGTAAGATCAGGCTGTAGAATCAAACCAAAATGAGCTGTCATTGTATGGTCACCGACTGGTAAAATTTATCCAACATCTTACCCATTTATTTTTCCCTCCAATAATTAGCAGTTAATTATAATAACCTAAAGTGTGTTAAACAGAAGTTAGCCTTATTTTTCAAAAAATGTTAGCCTTATTTTTCAAAACGAAGTCCCCTAGTTTTCCCCTACTCTTTCAGAAACACTCTGGCCCTCCGTTTAAGCTCATCCAAATTAAAAGGGAAGGTAACAGCATCCTCCTGTGGGCTCGTGCCCATTGGAGGAGCGGTTCAGTGACTCCACTGCCCCAAGGTTGTTCAGGAAAGCCAAAGTGCTACAATCCAAACCTGGAAAAGCAGACTCTGAAGCACATATTTAAAACCCTGTTCTGTGTGAATCCGATGAGACATCATCTCTACCTTGGGAACCAGTGAAAATGGGGGAAAAGATGCTAAAAATATGGAATTCAGGAATTCAGTGATCTTAATGGGACTTATTTTGTTGATGAGAACCCCCTTCCCACCTCCACCCTCACCTGTGTAGCAGATGGCGTCGTAGCGGGAGGAGGGGTCTGGGTATCCTGTCTGGTTGGCATGTAGGTACACGGTCCTTACGCCCAGGAGGTTGCCACCGCAGTTGGGCCGGGCCTTGGAGATGGGGTAGCGCACGCTGCGGTCGGCCAGCCAGCCGGCACTGCACATGTCCATCCCGCCCTGCCAAGCCAGGTAGAGCTGGCCCGTGGTGGCCAGCCTTGCACCCAGCCGCCGGCACTCGTTGGCCGCCTCTTGGAAGGTGAATTTCTCTGGGGACGTGGCATAAAATACCTCTCCTGTGAGGGACACATCACATTGGGTGAGGGGTTAGCACCCATTTCTCTGCCTGTGTTTCCAAGGGCTCCACGCTTCCTCCAAGTTTGTCCTTTTAGCTTTGGCCCCACATGTTAGTGTTTCACAGCTTGCCTATAGCTCCCCACTGTCCATCCTTTTCTGGACTTTTGAGCAGGATATCTGTCTCCTAACAAGGAACCAGCCCCCTCATCTCACTTCCCCCCAAACAAAACAAAACAAAACAAAACAAAAAACAAAACAAAACCTGCCAATAAGGCAAATCGTGGAGCAACTGAAAACCCTGGAGGAAGCACCGCTGCTGGCTAGTCATCTTTTCACCACTAGGGGAGCTTTCCCGTGAACGGAGGCACTGCCCACTCCCAGACAACAATCCAAAACTCAAACTCTGATGGGAAAAACAGGCCTCAGATTTTGACCTCCTAGAGCACTGGTCCTAAAACTGGGGTCTGTAGCCTCCACAGAGGCCATCATGGAATAATTTGGGCTCTATGAGCTTTTTAGTATTTCCTAAAACCTGGCAAGATTGTGCTTGAGGGTTGGGTGGGGATGGAAGTAGTTGTGGAGGGAGAGGAGGTGGGCATGTGTTTACTCCTGGGGTAGTTCTAGGTGCTCTTGCTTGGTGGCACTCTGACTGACTTGTATTTGGCCATGTTTAGCCAAACATAGGAACACAAATACTTGTCACCTAAAGATGACAAGGCTTTCAGCTCTTGGGATGAGAACTCCTTGAGGAAAGGGGCTGTGGGGGTTAGAAAGTTGGTCCATGTCTTTACCACTTCTCTTCCAGCTGGAGGAGGTTGGGGACTATGAGGGGTGTACATAGAGTGTGTATGGGATTCCAGAGAGGTGATGGGTGCATATGGGAGAAGGGGGTCATTTACATGCCAGGGTGACCCTGTGTTCAAAATTAGTATCCTTATAAAACAGAAACAATCTAGGTCCCTCCCTCAACTTCCCATTGAAAGGCCTGGGGTAAGACTTTGAGCTGGGGGCAGCGACGTGGACAGAGGGTGGCTGGGCAGAGTGTTCCTGGGGAACATGGCTGCTGGGCCCCTAGAGTGGCCTCAGTGTCCCTCCTGAGGGATGGGGGTAAAGCCTAAGGCCTGGCCCATGCTAGACAAGGCATTCTATACCCCAGTCCATAGCTGGGCTTTGATGACACTGTGGATCTTAAGACAGGGATGGACTGGCCACAGTTGCTGAGGTTCTGGCTAGGAGGGGCAGCCCCAGGGGACTATGGGTATAGGGGCTTGGTGGTAGCACCACATAGTTTGCAGATGTTTGGGGTCATTGAGACCTTCTCTAAAGTGGACAATGAGAGATCCAGCAAGAGACCACCCTTCTTCATGGCAGAGGAGGACCAAGTGTGACAGACTCTGAGAAAGGGCTTCAGCACAGGGGAGGCCTTGTACAGTTGCCCCAAATGTCAGCAGGGTGGTAGGGGTGGGAAAGGGATCTTGAAGGGAGTTGGCTTCCTTCTGGTGGGTGATGTAGCCTCACCCTCCATCTCCTCGGCAAAGCAGTACACATCATAGGTCTCATTGGTGTCTCGGATGCCATATGTCCTCACTCCAGGAAACTCATCCTTGTCTCCATAGCAACCTTCCCGGGGAGTGTGGATTGGGTACCTGTTGGGAGTCCAAAGTGGGAGTGTGACACTGGGGACAGAGGAAAGCCCAAGGCTGATGTATATAGTCTCCTCCATCATAGGATGAGACAAAGGCTTAATACTACTTCCACTCAAATCTTCTTTGAATGTGGCTGTCTCTCCAGTCTTAAAGCTACTCATGAGTTAAGGCAGCTCCTGGTATTGAGTACTACTGATAGCAAACATTCTCTCAGAAGCCCACACTTCCCAAAAAAGACCAGACAGTGAATCTTGTGGGTTTGTGCCAGTTTTTGCCTCTGTGATGACAACTCTCTCATTACAGTATCACAAAGCAGCAACAGAGCCAAGCAGCCATGGCTGGGTTGCAATAAAACTTCACAGCAGCAAAGGGTGGGTTGGATTTGGCCCTGGTGCCCACTCTGAATCAGCTGAATCCCATGCCCACCTATCAAGGCAGGGGCTGGACTCTATTTTACACTTAAAGAAACTAAGATCCAGAGATATTAAATGATGTGTTCAAGATCACACAGCTTCAAATGCCAATGTTGGAATGTGAGCCTACATCTTTCTGAGGCCAGTGTGTGGACTGTGGACTCTTGCCATGTTAGACTGTTGTCTCAGTTTGTTTATTTCCTGATTTTTATGGTTAGTGTCCTATACAGTCTTGTGTCCTAAGATCTCCTAGCCTACCCAAGATTGCAACACTATCTCCCTGAGGCTTTGTAGTGATGGATTTTGGGGATGGTGCTATGATGCACATGGGTTGAATGGTCTGTCTTCACAGGCTTGCTACGCTACACTGAGACCCCTTAGGCAGGCCTTTTTCTGCCCTGCTTTGCACATGGCCCTCAGGGCCCAATCAGGAAAAGATGTACCCAGATGTTTGATTTATGTATGTCTTACCTTATTGCAAACAGAAAGTATTTAGGGTTGTTTACAAAAATAAAACTCCAAAGTTAAACAAACCAGGAAGCGAAGACATCTTGGCAAAAGAAAAGAGAGAAGCATAAAGTTTAGAGCAAGGCTGTTAGCAACCTATTCTGTGAGAGAGGATGATGGGAATCTGGAATGGGACTCTGAGTATATGTGTTAGCAAGGCTGGCCCCTGGCCCAGCCCCTTAATCTAGGCTGGCCACAGGGTCACACTGACACCAGCTCAGAACTGGCCAATGTCCTACCCCATTATCTATGCCTCCTCTACTGGGCCTACACCTGGCCTCTGACACCTGGCCCTGAGCTCTGACAGCTTCTCTGTTGGGGGCTGGCTTCTCACCTAACTGTCTGGTCGGCCAGCCAGCCAGCGTCACACTGGTGGAAACCATCCTCGTAGGCAGCCTGCAGCTGCTCAGGTGTGGCGATGATGGCACTGTTCTGCAGGCAGGCTCGCTGTGCTCTGTCAAAGTCGAGGGTGTAGCGTGTGGAGATGGCTCTGTAGTGGAACACGATACCTTCGGGAGACACGGGTGGTTGGGGGCGGGGGAGAAGCCAGTCAGGTGCAACCTCTGGTTATTAAGATCTGGGGACCTTAGAGCTATCCAGTTTAGGCTGACATAGTTTCCTTTTCTGAATTTGTATATAGTCCTTTTGCCTTTGGTGGGTCACTGCCCCCACCCCACCACACTCCCCACACCAGCCTCCAAAGCTCACTACCTCACAAGGCATTCCGTTTTGAATACCTAGGATAATTTTGACAATAAGAAAGTTCTGGGAGTGGAGAGATGGCTCAGTGGTTAAGAGCACTGTCTGCTCGTGCAGAGGACCTGAGAAACCAAAACTGCCATTTACTATGATTTTTGCCAGGATGTATTTACTCAGCAAATCTCACAGAGAGTGTCATTACTAGCCCCAAGTTAGAGAAAGTAATGAAGGCTGAGCAGCTTAGCTGAGGGGTAAATGGCTATATAAAGGAACTGAGTGTGAAAGCCATCCACAGGGTGAGGCTGTAGCATGGCATCCCTGTGGGAGATCCTCACCTTTCACTATGACCTCCAGGGTGGCCTCGCTGTCCTCAATGCCATGCATCACTTCACAGCGATAGATCCCAGAGTCATTGGAACGAAGGTTCTGGATTTCCAAGGTGGCATCACTGGGGATGGCTGGGTAGTTGGGCAGTGACACCTTGTCTTGGTAGAGGCTATTGACTCGCACCTGCCCTTCAGTGGCCACCAACAGTACCACCTCCTTCTCCTTGGAAACACGGCTCCACTTGATTCTCGGAGTGAGGGGGGCAGTGGAGGGGGCAGTGGTGACAGGGTGCATGGGGTCGATGAAATAGCAAGGGATGGTGAGAGAGGTCCCTAGGAGGACCTTCAGTGGGGATGGTTGAGGGATGCTCACACTCAGCGAGTTGTCATGGTCTGTGGGGAAGGGAAAGAAGGAGAGACAGATCTGTTAAGACCACCAGCCCCCTGACAGGCCTTTTGGAAATACAGTCATCTGAGAGGCCCAAATTCAGACCACTGCTGTATGGGGATTCCCAGGGAGCTTCGAAACACCCTCTCCAGAGCAGCATTTCCTAATACCTCTGGTCTCTGCATCTTAAGATAAACTCTAGAGCTAGAAAGGGGTTCTGGAGGAGGGTGGGATATACACCACTCACCTAAGACTACTCTGCCTCTCAAATTAGAGTGGCCCAGGGAAGGCCAAACCATAGATTAATAGGACCTCTCTTCTTGGAGTGACATACTTGACTCAGAGATTTTGGAAAAAATTGTATTGGGGTGTTATAGTTTGGCTATGAAGTATCCTCTATAAAAGCCATATGCATTGAAAGTTTGGCAGTGTTACTGAGAGATTTTTGGATTACAAAGGTGTCAACCTCATTAATGGATTAACCCACTGACCAGTTTATAGCTTGATAGGGACAAATGGGAAGAAGGCAGATCACTGGGGGAGGCTTGTGACTTTGAAGGACACATCTTGTTCCCGGACACATCTTGGGCCCCTCCTCTCTCTCTTGCTCTCTGCTTGAGGCTGCCATTGGGTAAACAGCTCACCTATCACATTTTCAGCCAGGATATTTCTACCTTGCCACAGGCGAGTTATTTTCCTGAGGTATTTTCTCACAGAGATGGAAACTGATTAACACCTTGGGTGTAATAATTATTATGGGGTATAAAAAAATTCAAAGCAACTTTTAAACTTGAAATGCAAAACTTCAAAGACCTATTTCATTTGGGAAGGTCTATGTTGGGCTTAGCTTCACTTTGTAAGGGGGATAGGGCTTCTGCGGTAATAGGTGAGGGGACTGTAGGTTGTACAGTCAGATCCAGGGATATGGGACTAGATAGGACTAGACAATACAAAATTATGGAGTGTAGCAATAGAGAAGATGCAGTGTTTCTCAAATCCTGTTGGAAAAGATCTGCTTGGAGTGGGAAGGAAATAGCCTTCCTCACAGTGTCTTTCATGACAAGTCTTAAATTTATAGAACCCTTTCTTTCATGGGAGGCTAAAGTTGAAATAAAAATATTTAAGAAAGTTGTGGGTGGCAGATACATAGTCAGGTAAGGGTGGGAGACCCAGGAATGTCTGGAGTCTAGCCTGAACCTTTTGATGTCTGGACAGTCTTCACTGTTGCTTCCACAAACACCTCTGTCTGCTGCTCAGCCCTGGAGCCACTGACCACAGCTTGGCTCTGCAGTGGTGGTCCTGAGGAGAGAGCCGAAGGCTACTGTCGAGCCCAACTTGGTGGTTGTCAAAGCTCTCAATCAACCTTAGTGAACTGGTTTGCTGGTGTGGACACATCACCTTAGGTGATGGCCAACATCTGGATATTCATGGATCCCTGAACAACCACACCAATAGAGGTCCAGCTACCCACATCTCTATATGCAAAAGTGGTCAGGTCAATATATGGCTAAATAGAAGATTCTGTATCTTTCCGTTTGACTATGGAATCTTTCGTGATGACCTTAGATTCCTGGAATTTTCCATAGGGATACAGTGGCTTGGGAGGAGGCAGGCTCATGCCTCCTCTTGTTTCCTCCACTGTGAGGTGGGAAGTGGGAAGGTCTCACACACATGCTCAGTCCTCGTATCCTGTATTTCCACACCCCATATTTTTTAACCCCTCTCTCCTGCCTGTAGAAAAGGAGTTCATACCAAGGTTAGGAAGACAGACCCACATTGGCTTCGGAAATGGCTTGGATGTTCATGGACAAGGAACTCTGGACATTTTGTCTATCCAGAGCATTGTTTAAAGGCGAGGAGGGGGAGCAGTCTTAGGTGGATGAGCCCCGCTGGCCTTACATACTCTCCCTATGATGAGGAGGTTGAGGCAGAGGGTCTCCCTTGCTAGGATCTAAGGGCTGTACATCCACTCTAGGGTCAAAGCCATCTTGAAATTAGTGGAATGTTGATTGGTGAGGCTTTGGTTATGTGAAAGACAGAGAAGGCCTGCCACTGCCACATGTATAAGACCAGGCTGGGGCTCTTCCAAGAAAGCAGAGACCAGTCTTGTTACTGGAGTTCCCCTCTGTCCCTCAGGTTCTTTTCTCCCCTTTGATATCCCTTCCTGCTTTCTCTGTCTTTCCTCTGTCCCATGTTCAGTGTGTGGCAGTTCTGGGTGAGATCCCCAAGGGCAGGGTGCTGGGAAGGAGGCCCAGTAACTGTCTTTGCTAGAGGGCAGCCAGGGGCTGAAGCATGTACACCAGGCTCTGGGTTGTATATACGGCCGTGGGTGCCCTCCTATTGCAGCTAGAAAGGGGCAAGGCCAGGAAGAGACAGGAAAATGGGAACTGTTTCAGCACCAGGTTTAGTACCCTGTACTCAGAACCCAGCACTCAGTCCCTATTGAATAAAGGAGCCATGCATGACGATGTTCTCACCTGAAACTTCTTCTGAGAGCCTTGCAGCGACGACTCTCAGAGTCACAAAGACCAAGAGTAAAGTGGTCATAGTTCACCTGGAAGAGGGGAGCAGAGGTGTTATTTGGACACACTACACACAGTGAAGTAGAAGAGATCATACGGTCTATGATGCCATGTGATAGACTCTATGCCCAAGGCTCTGAAATCATACCAGGAGGCTGCGGTGGTTTGTGAGGTGTTTCCTCCTAGAATCCTTTCCTCAGAAAACCTCCAAGGATTTCTCAGCTTAAATCCAAGGTGACCAGTAAACAGACCCCCCATTGTCCGGGCAGCGGAGACTCGTCCTAACGAATTCCCATGATGGTTAATGATACATGTCAGCTGAACCATGGGTGCCCAGGTGGCTTGGGCACCTGTTTTTGTATTTGATCATGTTTTTCTGGTTGTGTCTGGGAGGGTTTTTGCAAGAGTTAAGCACTAGAATCTGTAGACGGAGTAAAACAGGTGGCCCTGCCATTCCCAGTGTGGGTTGGCTTCAACCAGCCACCTGAAGGCTTGAATGGAACAAAGAAGGACCATCTCCTGAAGGAGGGAGACTTCCTCCCTGATGGCCTTCTGGCTGGTTTTTCCTTCCTTTAGACTTGACCTGAAATATCAGTTCTTCCTGGGGCTTGAACATGTGAACTGAGGACACCCCACCAGCTCCCCCAGGCCTCCTTGCCAGCCCCTGAAGCTCTTGGGACCCACTGCTTCCACTTCCAGTCCTGACTCATTCTCTTCGCTTCTCCCCCT